CTTCAAGGAGTCGGTTCTAGGCGTTTATGACACAGCAATATAGTTTATCCTTGGTTTCTGAACTCTACTGCCATGTCCCCTGAGGTCTTTCAACCTGGTGGGAAGGAAAAGGGAGGAAAGATCAGGCCCATAGTCATCATTTAAAATTTTAAACATTGTGATTAAATCTTCTCCCTCTCTACGGTGTGGTTGGGGGAAGAGATTAAAACTACCTAGTCTTCCCTCGTGTGGTAAATTAGTCATGCCGAGAATCATGCATGTTGCCATCCTTTGAACCCTATATAGAATATGTGAATTTTCTTTAGGACAAGGGCTTTCTTGTCTTTAAGGGGGCACAAAGTATTGAGAACATTTAAAATTTGAGTTGTTAATAAGGGAATTGTAGATACAGATAGTTTCGCGTCATTTAGTAGAGAACATCTCCATATTCTGTGCGGGATGATGGGCTGCATTTTGGGGAGGTATAAAAAGTATTTTGGGAAAATGTATTCGTATATGTGAGATTCTAGAAGGTCACGTCCTTGTTTTCTTTCATTCTGCTAGTGTGTCGGTTTCGTTTCACCGAGTGTGTCAAACAGACGTTACACAAACGACATTTCCTGTTTGTTTGGGGGCTTTTGTCTTGACTATTTCTTTTTATTCTGATGTTAGGAATAGAGTCAAAACAAACAGGTCTATCCTCTGAAGGCATAAAACCGTGGTGGTCTCACATTTTTCGATAGGCACTGCTCTTCTAATATGCCCTAGGTTATTATTATTATTGTATCCTTTAGTTCCTAGAGGAACATAGGGCTTCAGCTGAGCACCTCCATTGCCTTCTGTTTTCTGACAACTTTTTCACCCCGTTCCAAGTCTGCCCACATGCTTTCATCTCCTCCTCGCATGACCTCCTCCAAGTCACCCTTGAACGACCAACTCGCCGCCTCCCTTTCAGGTTCCACTCGAGCAATGGCTTGTCTAGTGATGTCACTTGATGGTTTCCTCAGAGTATGGCCAGCCAATCCATCTCCATTTCTTTCTGTCTATTTGTATCACAATCGGTTGCTGGTTGGTTCGCTCCCAGAGATCCCTGTTGCTGATATTTTCTGGCCATCTGATCTTGAGTATTGAGCAAAGACAACTGTTAATGAAGGTCTGAAGTTTGTTTGAGATGCTCTTTATGACTCGCTAGCCAAGGTTTTGATCCGTATAGTAGCAGTGACTTCACACTGAAGTTGAAAATCCGGATCTTATTTTTGATGCTGAGTGCTGTTGACCTCCACCCGGACTTGAGAGTAATGAAGGCTTGTCTTGCTTTTCCGATTCTGGCTTTGATATCCTCGTCAGTTCCGTTCGCCTTTAGTTGAAACGATGCTTTCTAGGTAGGTGAAGGAGGCTGTTTCTTTCAGGTTCCTCCCATTTATTCTGGCTGACTGTCGTCTGTTGTTGTTGTTGCTGTTGGCCAGGAAACCTCATCACAACATCTCTTTTCTCTATGTTCATCTGAAGTCCTATCTTCTCTGGATTCTTCTTCCGCCAACTTGTTGCTTTTCACTTGAATATCTTCCAGTTTGTGGGAAATCAGACATATATCATCGGCGAGGTCCAGATCCTCCAAGTCTTTTGTGTGAGTCCATTTTATGCCCGTTCCCTCGTTGGTTGCCGTTGTCTGTCGCATTATTTTTTTATTATTTTTTTATTTACTGCTTGATTCCACACTGTATTTTCGGTACAAGTATGGAATTTTCAGCATGGATATCGGTAGCCCGAGTTTCGCAGGCCGACCATAGATATCGGATGTGCGTCGGTGCGGGCTCGAACCCCGGACCATGTGGATGGTCGGCGAGAGTCCTAACCACTGTGCCACCGACGCACAGGAAGATCATTGGTGATAGTAGACAGCCTTGTCGCACTCCCGTCCTTACTTCGAAGGCTTCCGTAAGTTTCCCGTTGTGGATTACTTGGCATGCAGCATTGTCGTATAACTGTTGGATGAGATGTATAATTGTCGACGGGACCCCTTGGTAGTAGCAAAGTAGTTGCCAAATGACCTCTCGATCGACGTTGCCTGATGAAGGCATTTCAAAGTCGATGATGTTTGGATAGAGAGGTGACTGCCATTCCAAGCTTTGTGTTTATTTATTTTTTATTTTTTATTACAGCTTGATTCCACACTGTATTTTTGGTACAAGTATGGAATTTTCAGCGTGGATATCGGTAGCCGAAAATTCGCAGGCCGACCATAGATATCAGGTGTGCGTCGGCGCGGGCCCGAACCCCGGACCATGTGGATGGTCGGCGAGAGTCCTAACCACTGTGCCACCGACGCACACAATGATGATCCGTAGAGTGGCGATTTGATCAATACATGATTTGTTTCTCCTGAATCCGGCCTGTTCCGGTCGAAGTTTTTCATCCAGGGCTTGTTTGATTCTCTCCAGCATGGTGCGACTTAGTATTTTGCTTGGAATGGACAGAAGCATAATTCCACGCCAGTTTTTACATTGACTTAAGTCTCCTTTCTTTGGAAGTTTGAATAAGTATCCTTTCTTCCAATCCTCGAGTACTTTGCCCTCTTTCATCACCTTCTCCAGCAGTGGCGCTGTTGTCTCTGGGTCTATTTTCAAAGCTTCTGCTGGGATTCCATCTGGTCCTGGTGTTTTCCCAGCTTTTAGCATCTTGATTGCATTCAGGACTTCTGATTTCGTCGGGGGGTCAGTGTTCACTGGTAGTTCTGCTTCCGTTGTTGGTATTGTTGGGCGCTTTGTAGGTGGCGGACGATTTAGAAGTCTTTTGAAGTGTTCGGCCCAGTGCTTTCTCTCTTTCACCTCTTTGGTGATTGACTTTCCATTGTCGTCCTTCACTGGCTTAATCTGTGTCGAACTTTTGCCCGAAAGGTGCCTAGTTGTTTGGTAGAGTGTGGCGAGGTCCCATTTGCCTGCAGCTTGTTCTGCTTCGTTTGCCATGGTTTCATAATATTTTCTTCTGTCTTCCCTGGCACTCTTCTTCACTCTTTTGTTCAGTGTATTGTAGCTTGCATTCAGCTCCTGTCTTTGTTGCTCGTCAGTGCACTGGATAATCTTTTGTTTCACTGTCCTTCTCTCTTCTATTAGTTTCCAAGTGTCCGTAGTGAGCCACTATTTGTCCTGTCTCTTCTTTCTGCCTAGAACTTCCATGCAGGTTTGACTCCACACCGTTTTCAAGTTGTCCCAGTGCTTTTCGACGCTGACCTCTTCGCTGGTGTTGATTTGTGTCTCGGCTTTTTCCCTTATGCTTGCAATGAAGATGTCCTTTGTAGCCTGGTCCTTCAGCTTTTGAGTGTTGAACTTGGCTTGTGGTCTATCTGCAGCTCTTGTTTCCGTGAAAGCTTTTAATTTGATTTGGATTGTCCCTTGTACGAGATAGTGGTCTGAGCCAACGTCTGCTCCTCTTCTTGTTTTTGTGTCCAGTAGGCTGCGCCTTCACTTCCTTGAGACTGAGATGAAGTCGATTTGGTTTTTGGTTTGCCCGTCTGGTGACACCCATGTAGCCTTGTGGATATCTTTGTGCTTGTATACACTGTGCCCTGGGTTATAGCTTCCGTCTTTTGAAAGTCGACTGCCATAAGAAGAGTTATAAAAAGAAGTGTAGAAGGTCATAGAGGACTCCCAAGAATAAGAGCGGTCCCTGAGCTGAGACGTGATTTTATATCCATACTATCTAACACAGTCCATGCCGGGATAACTTCCATTAGGGCTGAGATCGTTGAAGATACTGCAAGAGTTATTGTTCCGTTTAACAAAGTGCATCAATTAGTCGTAATAACGGTCCTCAATTTCGAGGCTATCTGCCGTTCGAATGCCTAGACTGCCATGGATGAACACAAAATGTCTCACAGTTAACGAAAATGTGCATTCAAAAATTATGCAGCAGTTGAAGATGAAATACAAATGGTCTCATTTACAGAAAAATGTAATATGTATTTAGAGTACAATTTTAGTATTGAGGGTCATTTACTGGACATAGCTCTGTCTACCAGAATAATATTGGTTTCTTTACCAAACCGTGAACTACAATAATAACCAATTCTAGTAATAAAAATATATTCAGTCACCAGGGTTACGCTTGTCTTGAGGTGAGGAGTACATCATTATTATGAAAGCTTTCATGAAAATCTGACACTTATACTCATTGACACACACACTATATTGTTAATAGCTTATTCCATAAACTAAAGGCTAAATGATGATAATTTCGTAGAGGCGAATTTCACTGAAATTTCAACGAGTGCCAGGGAAAACTTTCAGATACATCAAGCATCAGCATCCCTATTTCTGTAAAGTCATAATCAATCACAACCTCGAGGTATAACTGGCCTTACTCCGCTTTACAAGGGACTACATGCTGGCCCGAGACTGTATCTTATTTTTGGAGAATAAACCCCGGAATCCAGGGCGTATTGAAGCGTATCGCAGATCTCTTCCTCTAAAGAGGAGTTGAATCCCAGTATGGATGTTTCATTAGGACACAACTACGAGCCATATGACGCTTAGTTTTGGAGCCTGAATACTGACACATCAGTAAGGTACTGGTTGTGTACTTAGAATACGCTGTAATTCACCAGCTTTCTTAAACACAATGCAGTCAACTAACCACCTTATCGATATTCTACTTAGTACGTAAACAGTGATCTCAAACTATACATGAACAATCAATTATTTAGTTATACTCAATATATTCAAATAGAGTGTTTGTTTTGATAATTCGAGGAAAGGGTTTGAGGGTTTATGGGGCTTTTTGGCTGAACTAGGGACTCCAGGAATGTCTGTGCTAGCCGTTACAAAGCAAAGGGTAAAATCGTGACTTGATCTGGTCCTACACTTACCGGCAGAAACAATATTTAAAGGTGGATTAGAAGTTTATTCAGTTATTTCAGTTTTTTTCTGTCTGCTTTAACAAAGAAATGCAATAGAGATATTTGTCGTTTGAATTAATTACATATGCTTGTATCCATTGCGGACAGCATTGTGAAACTTCAAAAAATGACATCAGATGAAATTTCCGACGGTTACTTCTTATTATCAGTCACTGGACAAATTGAAAAGGCGGATGTAAGCATAAAAATTATTCATCTTCTTAACAGTTTCCATTACATGATTACATCTGGTGCAAGTACTGTTTCGTATATGGTCAAGATTGGATTAAAGTTGCAGTAAGGTGTTTACAAAGAATAATCCAATATTAGGGAGTAGATGAAGGGATGACACAGACATCCATCAAGGGCTTTCGGTGTAATCAAGAGAACAATTTGAATTTCCCTATTGATATTTCTTGGAAATCTACAAACCCTTTTGGTTGTATGTTTTTATGTGCCATTTTCATGAAACATTTAAAGGGCCCCAGATAGTTCTTCACGCTTATGGGGTTGATGTCTTTGGAAAAGATGTTATTAGAGGATACGGAGCAGTGCACATTCCAATGAAAATTGGTAGGTACGTACATCTGTGGTCTTCCGTGACATGTATTTAATACGAAATAGCACACTTCACTCATGTCTTCTGCGTTTGTCGTACAGTTATTTTGCAGATGTAGCATAATATTTATGGTATTTGTCTCTCAAAGTAATTGCTTCAAGGAACTAAAGTTTTCTCACAGATCATTTTTTAAAAACAATTTATGCGAACCTAAGTGTCTTAATTTCGTTAAGGCAAAAAATTTGGCGGAATTTCACGCGAAAGAACACCATGCCTACACCTTCTTCCGAAGATGCTGTTTAATAAAGCCATAATGACGAAAATATTTAGCCCAGGGGATGCGCATTATGTGGTTGTGTTCTGTGAGCTGAGTGGTTTAATTGTGGCGCTTTCACTGTATTTCTACACAACATCAAAATTGCTCACTTTACTGTGGGAAAGAAATCCCGAATTCCCGTGAACAATTGAACTGCATGATATTGTCTACTGGACGAAAATCTTTGACAGTCTTCAGTTCCTTTGTGAGTATTAAGTGAAATTCACCTGGTCTCACTGATCTACTAGTATTTTAGTCGGTTAAGGATCAAGTGTAGTATTTTAGTCAAAGTAGACCGAACATTTGTTGTTTTCTAATGGTGGCACCAAAACTAAGGTAACGCACCAATAGAAATGCAATAATACTCCGAGTATCCCATGCATCAATGAACATAGTGATTGGTACAGGAATCAGCCCGTAATCAGCATGCATTGTACATTGCTTGCTTCTCATCAGCATTCGCTGGAGATACGGAATTCCTCACTAATGAATTATCTTCTTTTGTTCCGACAGACTTTTTCAAAAAATTATTAGAGGAGAAATCTCCGCCTCAGAACGATGAAATCAACAATCTAAAGTCAACGGCTATCGATAAAACAAAGTGGGTTATCAATCTCTCAACACAAATATTAAGTCCTACAGAAATAAGTGTATTAGAAAAAGGATTAAATTTCAGTGAAGCGGTGGACAAGCTGAAACCCGAGGATGTCATCCCTTAAGTAGAAATAGCACTAGATAGGCAAAACAACAGCTGACAAAGTACGGGCACAATGTGCACTAACATTAAAACGACAAAAAAGTGGAAAGCCTAATCTGACAAAACCATGGATAGAAGCCCTAAAAAACCTTCGAGACTATGTTAGTCCTTTTCTGGTAAATTTCTTTGCTTGTCCAAACCCTTCTTGATTGAATCAGTTGAGGTTGCAGACATTACTTCTTCAAGGAGTCGGTTCTAGGCGTTTATGACACAGCAATATAGTTTATCCTTGGTTTCTGAACTCTACTGCCATGTCCCCTGAGGTCTTTCAACCTGGTGGGAAGGAAAAGGGAGGAAAGATCAGGCCCATAGTCATCATTTAAAATTTTAAACATTGTGATTAAATCTTCTCCCTCTCTACGGTGTGGTTGGGGGAAGAGATTAAAACTACCTAGTCTTCCCTCGTGTGGTAAATTAGTCATGCCGAGAATCATGCATGTTGCCATCCTTTGAACCCTATATAGAATATGTGAATTTTCTTTAGGACAAGGGCTTTCTTGTCTTTAAGGGGGCACAAAGTATTGAGAACATTTAAAATTTGAGTTGTTAATAAGGGAATTGTAGATACAGATAGTTTCGCGTCATTTAGTAGAGAACATCTCCATATTCTGTGCGGGATGATGGGCTGCATTTTGGGGAGGTATAAAAAGTATTTTGGGAAAATGTATTCGTATATGTGAGATTCTAGAAGGTCACGTCCTTGTTTTCTTTCATTCTGCTAGTGTGTCGGTTTCGTTTCACCGAGTGTGTCAAACAGACGTTACACAAACGACATTTCCTGTTTGTTTGGGGGCTTTTGTCTTGACTATTTCTTTTTATTCTGATGTTAGGAATAGAGTCAAAACAAACAGGTCTATCCTCTGAAGGCATAAAACCGTGGTGGTCTCACATTTTTCGATAGGCACTGCTCTTCTAATATGCCCTAGGTTATTATTATTATTGTATCCTTTAGTTCCTAGAGGAACATAGGGCTTCAGCTGAGCACCTCCATTGCCTTCTGTTTTCTGACAACTTTTTCACCCCGTTCCAAGTCTGCCCACATGCTTTCATCTCCTCCTCGCATGACCTCCTCCAAGTCACCCTTGAACGACCAACTCGCCGCCTCCCTTTCAGGTTCCACTCGAGCAATGGCTTGTCTAGTGATGTCACTTGATGGTTTCCTCAGAGTATGGCCAGCCAATCCATCTCCATTTCTTTCTGTCTATTTGTATCACAATCGGTTGCTGGTTGGTTCGCTCCCAGAGATCCCTGTTGCTGATATTTTCTGGCCATCTGATCTTGAGTATTGAGCAAAGACAACTGTTAATGAAGGTCTGAAGTTTGTTTGAGATGCTCTTTATGACTCGCTAGCCAAGGTTTTGATCCGTATAGTAGCAGTGACTTCACACTGAAGTTGAAAATCCGGATCTTATTTTTGATGCTGAGTGCTGTTGACCTCCACCCGGACTTGAGAGTAATGAAGGCTTGTCTTGCTTTTCCGATTCTGGCTTTGATATCCTCGTCAGTTCCGTTCGCCTTTAGTTGAAACGATGCTTTCTAGGTAGGTGAAGGAGGCTGTTTCTTTCAGGTTCCTCCCATTTATTCTGGCTGACTGTCGTCTGTTGTTGTTGTTGCTGTTGGCCAGGAAACCTCATCACAACATCTCTTTTCTCTATGTTCATCTGAAGTCCTATCTTCTCTGGATTCTTCTTCCGCCAACTTGTTGCTTTTCACTTGAATATCTTCCAGTTTGTGGGAAATCAGACATATATCATCGGCGAGGTCCAGATCCTCCAAGTCTTTTGTGTGAGTCCATTTTATGCCCGTTCCCTCGTTGGTTGCCGTTGTCTGTCGCATTATTTTTTTATTATTTTTTTATTTACTGCTTGATTCCACACTGTATTTTCGGTACAAGTATGGAATTTTCAGCATGGATATCGGTAGCCCGAGTTTCGCAGGCCGACCATAGATATCGGATGTGCGTCGGTGCGGGCTCGAACCCCGGACCATGTGGATGGTCGACGAGAGTCCTAACCACTGTGCCACCGACGCACAGGAAGATCATTGGTGATAGTAGACAGCCTTGTCGCACTCCCGTCCTTACTTCGAAGGCTTCCGTAAGTTTCCCGTTGTGGATTATTGGCATGCAGCATTGTCGTATAACTGTTGGATGAGATGTATAATTGTCGATGGGACCCCTTGGTAGTAGCAAAGTAGTTGCCAAATGACCTCTCGATCGACGTTGCCTGATGAAGGCATTTCAAAGTCGATGAAGTTTGGATAGAGAGGTGACTGCCATTCCAAGCTTTGTGTTTATTTATTTTTTATTTTTTATTACAGCTTGATTCCACACTGTATTTTTGGTACAAGTATGGAATTTTCAGCGTGGATATCGGTAGCCGAAAATTCGCAGGCCGACCATAGATATCAGGTGTGCGTCGGCGCGGGCCCGAACCCCGGACCATGTGGATGGTCGGCGAGAGTCCTAACCACTGTGCCACCGACGCACACAATGATGATCCGTAGAGTGGCGATTTGATCAATACATGATTTGTTTCTCCTGAATCCGGCCTGTTCCGGTCGAAGTTTTTCATCCAGATTGGCTTGTTTGATTCTCTCCAGCATGGTGCGACTTAGTATTTTGCTTGGAATGGACAGAAGCATAATTCCACGCCAGTTTTTACATTGACTTAAGTCTCCTTTCTTTGGAAGTTTGAATAAGTATCCTTTCTTCCAATCCTCGAGTACTTTGCCCTCTTTCAACACCTTCTCCAGCAGTGGCGTCATCAAGTCAGCTGTTGTCTCTGGGTCTATTTTCAAAGCTTCTGCTGGGATTCCATCTGGTCCTGGTGTTTTCCCAGCTTTTAGCATCTTGATTGCATTCAGGACTTCTGATTTCGTCGGGGGGTCGATGTTCACTGGTAGTTCTGCTTCCGTTGTTGGTATTGTTGGGCGCTTTGTAGGTGGCGGACGATTTAGAAGTCTTTTGAAGTGTTCAGCCCAGTGCTTTCTCTCTTTCACCTCTTTGGTGATTGACTTTCCATTGTCGTCCTTCACTGGCTTAATCTGTGTCGAACTTTTGCCCGAAAGGTGCCTAGTTGTTTGGTAGAGTGTGGCGAGGTCCCATTTGCCTGCAGCTTGTTCTGCTTCGTTTGCCATGGTTTCATAATATTTTCTTCTGTCTTCCCTGGCACTCTTCTTCACTCTTTTGTTCAGTGTATTGTAGCTTGCATTCAGCTCCTGTCTTTGTTGCTCGTCAGTGCACTGGATAATCTTTTGTTTCACTGTCCTTCTCTCTTCTATTAGTTTCCAAGTGTCCGTAGTGAGCCACTATTTGTCCTGTCTCTTCTTTCTGCCTAGAACTTCCATGCAGGTTTGACTCCACACCGTTTTCAAGTTGTCCCAGTGCTTTTCGACGCTGACCTCTTCGCTGGTGTTGATTTGTGTCTCGGCTTTTTCCCTTATGCTTGCAATGAAGATGTCCTTTGTAGCCTGGTCCTTCAGCTTTTGAGTGTTGAACTTGGCTTGTGGTCTATCTGCAGCTCTTGTTTCCGTGAAAGCTTTTAATTTGATTTGGATTGTCCCTTGTACGAGATAGTGGTCTGAGCCAACGTCTGCTCCTCTTCTTGTTTTTGTGTCCAGTAGGCTGCGCCTTCACTTCCTTGAGCACCACTGAGATGAAGTCGATTTGGTTTTTGGTTTGCCCGTCTGGTGACACCCATGTAGCCTTGTGGATATCTTTGTGCTTGTATACACTGTGCCCTGGGTTATAGCTTCCGTCTTTTGAAAGTCGACTGCCATAAGAAGAGTTATAAAAAGAAGTGTAGAAGGTCATAGAGGACTCCCAAGAATAAGAGCGGTCCCTGAGCTGAGACGTGATTTTATATCCATACTATCTAACACAGTCCATGCCGGGATAACTTCCATTAGGGCTGAGATCGTTGAAGATACTGCAAGAGTTATTGTTCCGTTTAACAAAGTGCATCAATTAGTCGTAATAACGGTCCTCAATTTCGAGGCTATCTGCCGTTCGAATGCCTAGACTGCCATGGATGAACACAAAATGTCTCACAGTTAACGAAAATGTGCATTCAAAAATTATGCAGCAGTTGAAGATGAAATACAAATGGTCTCATTTACAGAAAAATGTAATATGTATTTAGAGTACAATTTTAGTATTGAGGGTCATTTACTGGACATAGCTCTGTCTACCAGAATAATATTGGTTTCTTTACCAAACCGTGAACTACAATAATAACCAATTCTAGTAATAAAAATATATTCAGTCACCAGGGTTACGCTTGTCTTGAGGTGAGGAGTACATCATTATTATGAAAGCTTTCATGAAAATCTGACACTTATACTCATTGACACACACACTATATTGTTAATAGCTTATTCCATAAACTAAAGGCTAAATGATGATAATTTCGTAGAGGCGAATTTCACTGAAATTTCAACGAGTGCCAGGGAAAACTTTCAGATACATCAAGCATCAGCATCCCTATTTCTGTAAAGTCATAATCAATCACAACCTCGAGGTATAACTGGCCTTACTCCGCTTTACAAGGGACTACATGCTGGCCCGAGACTGTATCTTATTTTTGGAGAATAAACCCCGGAATCCAGGGCGTATTGAAGCGTATCGCAGATCTCTTCCTCTAAAGAGGAGTTGAATCCCAGTATGGATATTTCATTAGGACACAACTACGAGCCATATGACGCTTAGTTTTGGAGCCTGAATACTGACACATCAGTAAGGTACTGGTTGTGTACTTAGAATACGCTGTAATTCACCAGCTTTCTTAAACACAATGCAGTCAACTAACCACCTTATCGATATTCTACTTAGTACGTAAACAGTGATCTCAAACTATACATGAACAATCAATTATTTAGTTATACTCAATATATTCAAATAGAGTGTTTGTTTTGATAATTCGAGGAAAGGGTTTGAGGGTTTATGGGGCTTTTTGGCTGAACTAGGGACTCCAGGAATGTCTGTGCTAGCCGTTACAAAGCAAAGGGTAAAATCGTGACTTGATCTGGTCCTACACTTACCGGCAGAAACAATATTTAAAGGTGGATTAGAAGTTTATTCAGTTATTTCAGTTTTTTTCTGTCTGCTTTAACAAAGAAATGCAATAGAGATATTTGTCGTTTGAATTAATTACATATGCTTGTATCCATTGCGGACAGCATTGTGAAACTTCAAAAAATGACATCAGATGAAATTTCCGACGGTTACTTCTTATTATCAGTCACTGGACAAATTGAAAAGGCGGATGTAAGCATAAAAATTATTCATCTTCTTAACAGTTTCCATTACATGATTACATCTGGTGCAAGTACTGTTTCGTATATGGTCAAGATTGGATTAAAGTTGCAGTAAGGTGTTTACAAAGAATAATCCAATATTAGGGAGTAGATGAAGGGATGACACAGACATCCATCAAGGGCTTTCGGTGTAATCAAGAGAACAATTTGAATTTCCCTATTGATATTTCTTGGAAATCTACAAACCCTTTTGGTTGTATGTTTTTATGTGCCATTTTCATGAAACATTTAAAGGGCCCCAGATAGTTCTTCACGCTTATGGGGTTGATGTCTTTGGAAAAGATGTTATTAGAGGATACGGAGCAGTGCACATTCCAATGAAAATTGGTAGGTACGTACATCTGTGGTCTTCCGTGACATGTATTTAATACGAAATAGCACACTTCACTCATGTCTTCTGCGTTTGTCGTACAGTTATTTTGCAGATGTAGCATAATATTTATGGTATTTGTCTCTCAAAGTAATTGCTTCAAGGAACTAAAGTTTTCTCACAGATCATTTTTTAAAAACAATTTATGCGAACCTAAGTGTCTTAATTTCGTTAAGGCAAAAAATATGGCGGAATTTCACGCGAAAGAACACCATGCCTACACCTTCTTCCGAAGATGCTGTTTAATAAAGCCATAATGACGAAAATATTTAGCCCAGGGGATGCGCATTATGTGGTTGTGTTCTGTGAGCTGAGTGGTTTAATTGTGGCGCTTTCACTGTATTTCTACACAACATCAAAATTGCTCACTTTACTGTGGGAAAGAAATCCCGAATTCCCGTGAACAATTGAACTGCATGATATTGTCTACTGGACGAAAATCTTTGACAGTCTTCAGTTCCTTTGTGAGTATTAAGTGAAATTCACCTGGTCTCACTGATCTACTAGTATTTTAGTCGGTTAAGGATCAAGTGTAGTATTTTAGTCAAAGTAGACCGAACATTTGTTGTTTTCTAATGGTGGCACCAAAACTAAGGTAACGCACCAATTCCTGAATAATGTCCTTATCGAATTCAGTGTCGTCGTTGCCATTTTATCACGGTTAACTGAGACGCGTGTTTCTCAGTGGTTTGATTGAAGATTATGACACATCTTACTCCTAAGGTTCATGTGTAAGAACATTTTCTTAGGACGCTGTGGCGCATTTACCCTTCGGTTGTATGTTGAATTTTATTGAGGATATAACAATTGCTATCCTGGATTTATTTCTAGCTGCAATGTACAGCTTTCTGGCTTCTAAAACCACACCTACGTTGGGGCTGTAACCTGCAATCTTCCGTTTATATATCAGACTAGACATTGATTAGAGCATACAGAATCAAAATTAGACCAGGTTCGTCGCAACAACGCGGGTTAATTTACTATTTTCCTTTTCTAGTCCTAAAAATCCTAAATAATCTGTTAATTACTCTCTTAGTCACACGTGTGCTGGTGCGTTGTACCGAGGCTTAGTTTCACTCATCTTACTTTGTGTAGCAAAATAAACTGACATCCAAAGGTGAAGATTTCTGTGTTGATTCGCCAATCATTCCTGAGTAACTTTTTATGCAGATAGACGGTTGGAAGATTTGCTTGTTTATAGTTTTTTGTTTTTCATTGTTTGTGGCATACTGGTGGCCATCATTTAAGGGGAAGTGCAAAGTTAGCAGCTACGGAATCGATTTGGCAAACGTAGTCTTGTTTGGGATGTTTTTGATCAGATACGTAGTGAAATTCCCTAACTTCATTCCCGCATAAACCTGTTTTCTATCTCATATTTCTTCGTCTATACTTTTTGGTGCTTATTCGAAATATGGTGTTTTGAATTGATTCGCTTTTGTGAGAAGTTATACATTGATGAGTTAGTTGAGATATTCTTGATGATACTTAGTGACACAGTTTATATTTACTCTGACACACGAACATGTGCTCCACCTAAATGTGTCTAATGAATTAACGAACATTTCGGTTGGCATCACTACTTTTAAGTATTGTTCACAATCCAAATAGCTGCTACTATAAACGAGGAAGTTTTATCTTCATGTTTAGAAAGTCTATTAATTAAATTAGATAGAACTCCACAAATATCTTCATATGGTTAGAGCTTTTAAAATCTGTGATATACAGGAAATGTGGGAAGACAAGTTGGACTGAACTACTGCATTCCTGTATTAACTTTATAGTTTGAAATACTACAGATTCCTCCCTACCTGTTACTGCTCGAGCTAATTTCATGTCCTGAACTTAATGATGTTTATATGGTGTGTTCTGACTAACCTGATGGAAACAGATTTAGAACTCTGCAGGTAAAACATTATGAGAGAGTATTTTTTTAGTGAAGAGAAGTAGCACATTGCAACAATTTGTCTAAAAATCAACTCTGTGTATAAAAGATTTACAAATTTAAAAATATTCCAACTTAAAACTCATACATTAATCAAAGAAGAACTATGTGGCCTTAGAATATCCAGCAAAGTTATCTGATGGCCTCTGAAACGTTTTGAGATACAAAGAATAAAGGAGGCTAAAACGTTAGGTTTTAATCATCATATGGCCAATACTAAATCACATCTTAACTACTGAAAGTGAGACGACCAAATGTTTCAACAAATGTAATTTATTTAGTGGTTACACGATTCACTGTTTGCCGACTTAATTTCAGTAATGATACGAAACATTCTTCTTACATACCGACTTGTATTACTCCATAACATTGAGTAGCTAGCTGGTTACCTGCCAGTGATTTAGTTTTTGGTAAAATATGACCATGGTGGACAATTAACAAGTAGTAACTATCCCTCAGGCAGTGCGAGTGCACAAAAAAACTGCAGGGTATAGAGTACTGATGATAAATTCTCAAATGATGTAGACATATTAGCTGGTGACACTACAGAATTCCATTGATTTTTATGACTTAAGAAATGTTGGTTGGAAAATTTTTAGAATCGTACAAAATCTAGAAATGGACAGATCAGGACACAATATTAGTCTGCAAACACACTGACTGCTCAATGGAGGCGTACAGTTAGTTTTCGTTTAAGCCCAATTAGGCTTGTCAGTCAAACATTAAAGGTTCTCAGCAGAAGGGACAGAATTCGATAGGGATGGGGAAGATTTATACAATTTACATTATCCTAGCAGACCTAAATATTAACTCTAATTTTCAACAAAATAATGTTACCTTTAATCACGCCTTGGACTAATTCACTTTCAAACAAGCTACTAACTTTATCCGTCTCGTATTACTTTCAACTAGCAGTCAGCCGTAAGCCATATAGTCCGAGAGCTTTATTAAAACCCTTAATATCCGTCATTTTACGAAGATTTCCTTTTTAATTTTGTGAACTAATACCTGCTTATCTGACTCATAATTGAAGTAAACAGACTTTGAAAATTGCCTAAAGAGGTCTGTGCACTGTGCAGCATGTGTTACCTTGGGAGTTCTAATGCATTATTTGTCTAGGATCTCTCGGAATTTTTGGATTAATTACCACTTTTTTTGAATTTTTGTTTGTGATTATTGTGTAACTTTCGAAAGAGATCTTACCGTGCTAGGTATGTCTTATAATAAGGAAAATATTGTAAAAATGAATTTGGTTATATCTTGAAACATGTCATATTTATATCTATAGTTTTTGACCATGAGTTCCGAAAATCGGTTAGTGTAACCGGTATAAAAAGTAAAACAAAGAGAATTTCAGCTTGGGCAAAACTTTTTCATTTTTGTGAATTTCCCTAAACTTTCAAATATTATGAAATGAATACATACAGTGGTTGGTCAGTAAGGTGTAACTCTAACGGGAGAAGATAAGAGATCTTGTAACGGACCTCTTTATTAAGGAAAAACACGTCATATTCTTAGCTATGCTAAAGTCTGGCTGGGTTAGAGAAGAATAAATTGTTCTGGTGAGTTTATTTCATATTCTCAAGGTAAACTAAATCAAAATTTGACGAATAGACACTTCTGTCTCTGTAGTTATTGACTTAACATGTTGATTTCAGTTTTGGTCGCTTCCTATCCATGTCCATCGTGTCACATAACTATTGTCATTTGCCCAGCCTTTATTTTAAGCTGAGTTCCATCAGTCAAGTTCTCTATGCAGTCACCAAGCTGGCTAACTGGCCATAGAGGTACGTTTGGAACTTATGTCAGGTGATTGGAGGCGAATACTGTCAGCATAACTCAATAGTGCCTTTCCTGAATAATTCTAACGCAAGTTGAAATGGGCTTTAATCCATCAGTGCATATCAGCCACCTATGAGGTTAAAGATATGCCTTGCTGACAAGTGCCAAATAGCTACGAAACACGGGCCTCAATTTTTTCTGCCTCCGACCACATGGAAAACATATATGTATATGATTGTATGGAGGATTTAATCATGAGCTGAAATCAGTTAGAGAACCACTGGAAAACCTGGGAGTACTGGACAGCTGTTTCGTCCTAGTTTAGGACTCCTCAGCAGTACACTAGGACGAAACAGCTGTCCAGTACTCCCAGGTTTTCCAGTGGTTCTCTAACTGATGTCAGCCCATGATTAAATCCTCCATACAATCAAACCAAATCCCTACAAAACCAACACTTGAAAATATATGTACATATTTCTTGATATTTCTAGCATTTTCTAATATGCTTATTCATTCCTCCTAATGCATCGACTAATTTTAACAACTATAATCATGACAACTCACCACCTTATTACTACCCTCTTTCTTGAAAAATTGAATGCAGATTCACTTGTATAGCTAAAGCAAATGAATTCAGGTACTGGTTTGTAGGGATTTGATTTATTGATTACAGGATTTCATCATGAGCTGACATCAGATAGAAAACCATTGGAAAACCAACAGATGAAATTGGACAGCTGTCTCTTCCTAGTGTAAAATTCTTGAGCAGTACACACCCACCACAGGGTAGTTTGAACCCAGAACCTTCTGGTTACAAAGCGAGCTAATACATCACTAAGCCACTGGGACCCGATCCAATACCCATTTCATGAATTCCAACTTCTGCCAATTCAGGACATAGCACCGAAAACAGTCTATTCTCTAAGCTGCTTGTTTTTTTTCATAACTATATGTTTTTCGTCTAATTTATTTTTTATTTAGCCACCGAAGAAGAGTAGCTATGTTTGTACCACAGTCATCTTCAAAACTGATGAAGCTGAACGCTTGGTTGACAGGGAAAAGACCAGAATTCCTTAATCCAAAAGTTATAGCCAGTGGTGATGGCCGTGGAGGTTAGCAAGCTTTTTAAATATATTCATATTCTTATTTACACCTTAAAAGATGGTGGTACTTACTATTCTTAGATGTCTGTCTCTTTGGTAACCTTACCAGACTATGTATTATGGCTGTAGTGTTGTCACAAGTGGAATTCTGTATAGATTCCATTTACCACTGTATTATTCCACACTCACAAATACACAACTTATGAGTATATATAATAATTCACAAGAAGATAGGAGTTCATATTGTATCCAAGATTTATGTGAAACATTCTCAAGAGAACCAAGTGAGATTATGAAATTAACCTCTACTGGAATTTAAACATTCTGTTTTGCTACTTATTAGAGCTTTTGGTTGAAACCTGTTCACTACTAACTGATCTATCTACTCTACTACAATTTGTATATATGCCTATATACTAAGTTTTGAAACTTTAGAAAACGGGATTTATTCATTTCTTAGGAATACTGTTTCAAGAATTTTATGCAGCCGGTACGCTTTATTAATTTGAATAAAGAAAGAACGAATGCATTTACAGGATATTACGAGCCGGTTACATTTTGTGGATTCTCTTCAGCTGCGTACATCCTGAATAAATAAATTACAAAATTTTCCAAGCATACTTTATACAATAACTTCAAGTTATAGACAGAAAGTATCAGCAACATAATTTCAAAAGTGATGTTGTGAGTAGACAATTATTTAGTATTAAAAAAGTAACTATTTACACAATAAAACAAATCACGTATGTCAGCGAAGAGTCTCTTTTCGGCGAATTCATTTTCTTAGCTGTACAATCGCAAATATACATATGTGTTGTTTTGTATGTATGTGTACATTAAGTTTGTCAAACAAAATTACAATTGGTTACGATTACTTTTAACTAAACAGGTGAAGGTTGGTAATACAGGTCAAGAAAATCAAGTGTTAATGAAACTAGAGTAGTAACAAATGTGATGAGTTGTCACAAACAGTTGTTAAAAGAAGTTATGTAGTCATAATATGAATAGTTTGATGAGTGAGTTTTACTCAGGATGCACATAGAAACAAAGTAGATAATACGAAACTATGTAAGAGATCTAAGTGAAAAGAAGAATTATAAGCAATTACAGAACAGGCAAAGAAAGCAAATTAAGTCATCAAAATATAAAAATAAATCAATAAAAACTCAAAACAAATCAAAACATTGTTACCATGAAAGTAGAAGTGGTTGAGTAATCTTCTTTTGTATGCACAGCTCCAGTTTTTCCATGTGAATGGGCAGAGCTTCAGCGATACAAAGGAGACGAAACCGTATTGCCTTTGATAAGTTATTCTTGACTCTGTATATTACTTTGAAGGAGGCGTTTGTTGAAATGCAATGATCAGTGTTAATCAGGTGTTCAATTATAGCACTCCTTATAGCACCACTATTGCCTTTTCGCAAACATGCTGGATAGTGCTCTTGAATCCTCTTGGTCAGGGTCGAGCGGGTCGAACGACCGATGTACCTGTCTGGATCCACAGCAGCAGATGAACTGATATATGCACATAGAAGTGACCAGATGCGGGATATTGTCCTTGGGGCTTCTGCAGATCAGTGGGTGACTGGAGAACACTATTCTTAGCGTTGCTGCAAAGAATGTTCTTCTCAGAGATGATGTGATCCTTCTCTTGAGAATATCGCTTGCTAAATCTCCCTTGAAATCCAAGTTCATGTAGAGTTTCTTTTTAGGCGCAGTTAAAGTTTCGTTTTTCCGAATTATTGGTTTCATATTTTTGTCGATAAATCTTATTGGGTATCCATTTTGGATGAAGATTTCTCTTAGAATATCTAATTGTGTTTCCAGAACGTCGGAACTACAGATGTGTCGGATGCGGGTGGCAAGTGATTTAATTAAATTTCGCTTTTGTTGAATGGGTACCCGGATATAGAAGCTTGTTAGTTGACCATTCCACGTAGGTTTTCTATGGACTGATCTTCTTAGGCTCCCATTAGCTCTTCTTGTCAGTTTCACATCCAGAAACGGAATTTTTGACTCGTTCTCCATTTCAAGAGTGAATTTTATTGCTGGATGGCAATTGTTAAATGTCTTCAGCAGTAAATTGGGGTTGTTGTCGTTGTCACAATTATTTATACAATAATTAGACAAAGAGGTAGAATTCAAATTTCTTTTTAAAACAAGTACGGGTTAAAAACAGAATACAAGACAGAACAACAGAGTGGATTTACACATATTTTGATGGAGATTTCAGGAGGGTGGGGGTGAATAGTGAAGTAAAATTATAAAATAATTTAATTTAGTAAATTAAGAACCTTAATAGTGAGTTCAACTCAGTGAATGAAAATCAAAACCAAGACTGAGTGGAATGTTATGCAACAAAACAAAATACAAAAGCCTACGAACAAAACAATTACAATTACCAGGGTTGTGGGAGATTATTCACACTATCTTTCTGTATGCATAGGTTGGGTCGAAGTCTTTTGATGGCAATGGCTTCTGTGAACCAAAGTAACCATGGTTTTCTTTGTGTATTGATTATTTTGAAAGCCAGACTAATATCTACTGTATGTCCTATGTCAGTTGGGTGTCTGGTGATTATAATTGAGAACACTTTGTTGCCTTTCAAGAGGAGACTTCTAAGATTATGCTCGAAGAATTTAGCAGACGCTGTTCTCTTAGTCCTCCCTAAGTAATTGCTGCTTCAGGTGTATGTGAGTTGGTGAATGCAGTTGGAATTGACGTGCGGAGCAAGATACTTATCTACTTTTGACGAGCAAATTGTGTTATAAAGTGGAATGAGTCTGAAGGTGGAAAATATTCTTTTCAATGCATCTTTAATCTTGTTTTCCATTCGTGTGAATACTTCTTCACATTTGCACATTAGGTAGATAAAAACAGGTTTTTTTCTAACTATTATGGGTTTTGGTCTAGGTGGGTTTTTCTTCCCATATTTTGAGATGAACTTTCAAAGATATCCATTTTCGGTAAGGGTCTTTTCTATGACTACAAGTTCCCCTTCGATCTTATTTTTTGAACAAAATACCCTAGCTCTGCTGAAGAGCGTTTTTTACCAGGCTCATTTTGTAGCCGATGAGTTCGTATCATCCTGCATATATGTTTGTTCTTTCTTTATTCAAACTTTTGGAATAGTTGCTATGTTTAACTATCTTTTGACTAATCAACAATAACCGCAAGAATACGAACGTCATCCTAATAAGTGTGTCATATGTAAACCTATTTGAATAAGCTAAATGTTTAGATAGTTTAATCACCCAGAAGAACACAAAGTCATAACTTTAGAAAATGAATGTTTGTCTCCATGACATACAGAAGGGTGTGAAATATCCGGATGTTAAATAACTGACGAATTAATTTTTTTACGTAATACAACAATTCGAAAGCTACAGACTTTGATTTACAGTTGCCTTCGGTGCGTGCTGAAGGTCAGGAGACCAGATAGGATTAGTGACAAGAAAGTTTGTCAACGAACTACTCAAGAACCTACTGCACAACGATTATGAAGAAAAAATGGAGACGGACTGTGTACAGCGTTGAGTGATATCATGCACTAGGCCTTCGAGTGAAATGGTGGTAGTAATCGACGAGTTAGGATTGGGTCCAAGTGGGATATGGAGGAGGGTGTGTGAGGAGGAGATGAGGGCTTACAGACATCGTGGAGGCGGTTAGCAGGAATGAAGAGGACACGATGAAATGGACATGTGTGGCTTAAGTCCTATATTTCATTCAGAACCCAAGAGGATTATAAATAATGAAATAATTACGACGGTCATCATTATAGAGTCTCCATTACTTTGATTGGACGCGAGATAGTCTAGTCTTTGTTTGATTCAAAGTGAATCCTATCAGTCAACTTTGTAATTTAACCACCATATTAGGTGGATCACTGTCACGGTGCAGTCTGATCTGTTATTGTTAGATGGTTGGAAGGGATCGGAGGGAAGTTTTGAACCTGCTAGATTTCAGTCTTCACTGTACAAAGGGACAGACACATGACATTACTTACTACATACAGTCTAACCAAAGTTTTCACTACAGTCCTAAAGGAAGTGAATTGCGAGCCCAAATAGCACAGTTGTATCATCTCTGGTTGCAGTGCTTGGCGACCTAAGTTCGAGTCTGTGAGGGGACACCACATCCTTTAAATGTGTCAGCAGGCATGAAACCTAGATTCAAGGCTTTCTAACGATTGCTTCCAACCACGTTATAACAACAAAGTCTTCATTGCCATTTATTAAACTATTTTCTATTCTAGTGTGAATGTTCAAATACGATATATAACAGATGCTTCTTGAAGCACCATTTTTATGTTTTCATATTGAATTGATATCAGTCCGTGATCACAGCATAAAAACAAATCTAATCCTTTCAAACCAAATATAGTAAATTAATCAGATGCTCGCTAGTGACCTGTTACAGGACAGAGTTTCCTGGAGTTCTAGTGAGAAGTCGTCACTGGTGAGGTCCATCCAGTAAAGTGTGAGGATGGATGTCCCACATATGACATTAGTTGATATTAGCGCTAAATCACGAATCGGCAAAAGTTAGAAATCATAGGCTAGCCATCGAATCGGGTCCCGGTGGCTGAATGACAGACGAGCTTGCCTTGTAACCGGAAGGTCCCGCATTCGATTCCCCTGTGGTGGGTGCATACTGCCGATGATTTCCAAACTAGGCTGGAGAAACAGCTGTCCAGTACTCCCTGTGGCTGGTTTTCAATGGTTCACTAACTGATATCAATCCGTGGTCAAACTCGTCAACAGAAATCTCATCATTTGAATGTACAATAGCTGGTAAAATATTACCCTAGTTAAAGTCTTTATTCATGGCTATGAAGATGTTATTAAATATTCACATAAAACTATCTATCATCCCACTAGTTATATGTATGTTATTATTATTCCCTTGATTTTCAATTGGCACATTGAGCTTTAATAGAGAGAAGACCGGTGGTGCAGTGAAGAGTCTCTTTTCGGCGGCGAATTCATTTTCACAGCTGTGCAGTGGCAAATATATACAGTTATTTTGTTTATGTGTACATTGAATTTGTCAAAAGGAAATACAATGAGCAAGTTTTTGGTTGAGTTAAGTAATAAAAAAAAGCGTTCAGAGTAATTGAATGTTGATATAAGAGGGTAGTAACAAAAGTAATGAGTTGTCACAAATGATTTTTAAAGAAGAGTTACGCGGTAGCATAAACAGTTTAATGAAAAAGTTGTGCTCAGGGTGAACGTGGAAACCAAATAAAATTACCTTAAAGTTTTGAGTAGTTAGAAAATTCGAGCAGATAAGCAAAAGTTAAGTCAAATCAGCGGAGTTGCCACCATGATAGTAAAAGTAGCTGAATTATTTTCTTTTGTATGGTTAGTTCCGGTTCTTCAGACTGAATGACTAGGGCTTCTGCAATGCAAAGAAGATGGAGACGTATTGACTTAGGCATGTTGTTCTTCACTTTGTAGAATACTTTGAAGGAGGCGAATGTTGAGATGGAATGATCACTGATGACGAGATGTTCAATTATTTCACTCCTTATACGGCCACTACTTCCCTTAATAATCAATCCACTCTTTAATGTCTCTTCTAGTTAGCTCTAAGATTGTCTTCAACACTACGGCGTACCTCAAATCTTTGTCAATCTCATTCAACAGGTATATGACGATGCAACGTTTCAGGTAATCTACAACGGAAAACTATGTGAGGCGTTCGAAGTGCATACATGAGTAAGACAAGCTGGGTGCCTGCCTATTATCATCGATGATATTTTTAATTGTGGTGAACTGGATTGTGCGTCAGACTGTTGGGGGCGAGGAGTCAGGAATACGCTGGACGACTGATAAGAAGACTCCAGAAGATTTGGATTTCATGTGTGGACGATATATGTCTAATGTCACACAAACTCGAAGACTTGCAAGCAAAAAACCAACAAACTGGTAGAAGAGTTTGTCTGGCAGCGAAGACAGGACTACAAGTGAACACAGAGAAGACGGAGGTGATGAAAATAACCGATCAATAGCAACAACAACCAATACCAATCACCATCAACTGGAGAGATTTAATAGAGGCTACCTCCTTCAATTATCTAAGAAGCATCGTTTTAACTACAGGTAGTCTGGACGGATGAAGATGTCCAGGCTAGCCAGAATCGGAAAGGCAAGGTACGCCTTCATCAACCTGAAACCGGCTTGGAAATCTTCCGCACTCAGCACAAGGAACAAGATTCGCATTTTCATCACCAATGTGAAGTTGGTCAGTTTTTCTATATGGGTCAGAGACCTGACTTGTCACGAAAAGGATTTCCAACAGGCTCTGGCAGACTTTTATTAACAGCTGCCTTCTCTCCATACTGAAGATCAAATGTCTGACCAGAAAGAATAAGCAACAAGAAACTAGGTGAATAAACCAACAAGCAGGAGCCGATTGCTCAACAGATATGTAGAAGAAAGTGGAGTTGGATCGGGAGTACATTGAGGAGGGGGGCAAATGACATGGCACGCCAGGCCGTTACTCAAGTGGAATCCAAACGGGAAGCGACGAGTGGGTGGCCGGTACGAGGCTGACATGGAGGAGATCGTGTGAGGAGGAGATGAGAGAGTTTGGTCAATCGTGGACCCAGATGAAGAGGACGACAGAAGATATGACAAAGTGGAAGTGTGTTGTTGAAGCCCACTCGGCCCGCAAAGGAATAATAAATATAAATAATAAGATTAAAACAATTAGTCCCTTTGATAAATTTGAATAAGGCATTAAGAAGACAAATTTCGCGAGATGATATCGTCATTTCGTAGTTTCTTTACAACCGCTTTACAACTAACACGGTTAACAATAATAATAAAATAAAGTTCACGACAATTACTCAGTTAAATAAAAAACATACTAATGACCAATCACTTGTCACGGTAAGGATAGACCACATCTCGAAAAGACAGCTTCTGTACCAAATAAAGCTATCTTTATTAACCTACCATTCAAGGGTGACCAGATTATGCAGTTGACAGCTCAAAGACTTTGGTCAGCTATCAAACGCACATTCTGCGCCGCATTTCTTTTTCTCACTTGCTGAACGTCTTCAATCCCTGTACCTACGATTAAAGGAAGAAATTCTATGGACTCTACTTCAAACTGTATCTACAAGTTCACCTGCAGCTGTTCCAATGTCGTCGAAAATAACATGTTCCAAAATGGCTAGTAAATCATATCAAAAATCCTAACGCAATTAATCTTAATAGAAATCCAGCATCATTCATTGCAAAACACTTATTAATGTCTGGTCACAAAATAAATATTAATGACTGTTTCACAATTATTTCACATAACTCTAATTCAAGGTCGGTTATTGAAGGTGATGGAAGCACTTTGTGGGATTAATCACATACAGCCTAAACTGTGTGTACAAAAATCAATAGACTTCAATCTTCGCCTACCCTGGACTGCATGATCTGTCTTAATATGATTGGTCATTAGTATGTACTTTTGTTTTTATTTAACTGAGTAATTTTCATAAACTTTATTTTATTATTGTTAACCATGTTAGTTGTAAATCGGTTGTAGAGAAACTACGAAATGACGATATCATGTCGCGAAATTTGTCTTCTTAATGCCTTATTCAAATAATAAGATTGCCTATAAGCTTTCGTTTCCTCCCCACATGATCATTTCACTGTCACTCTTCGATGCTTTACTCGTCGTTTTTCATTCGAATTCCACTCTAAGGAGTGGCTTATGATGTCACTCAACTTTTTCTCCAGCCTATGTCCAATTCAGTTAATTTTTCAAATGAGAATGAATAACAAGGTGAAGGGCAAAAATACGTATAAAACACATTATGAGACCATGTGAACACATTGATATGTGAGCAATAAATCTAGTTATATATATCACTCACTTCTCAATACTGTATCACTGTATGTCATATTAAATAAGCTTTATCTCACATACGACTCAAGATGTCTGCCTATTTCATTGTTAACGTCTAACAAATTTAAGCTTTAGAATTAAATATTACTAGTTATCTGCCTTTAATGTATCTCAGTCGTACTGTTGACATAGTTCTGTAACGTCAGAAGACAAGGGCCAGGCAACAGATTGTTTATTTAGTAAATCTAGAAATATTTATAAATTTTTATGTACAGTATTATTAGCGTTATTGTTAGGGGAGAAGCAACGTCTTTTGACTGGCTGTTTTCTTGTTGAAGGTTATTCTGTACTGCTTGTGACCGTTTCTTAGAAAGTTAAGCCATATATCTGCGAATCGTATTTGTACACGTTAAATCTGCTTTGATTGGTTGGTGAGTTTCTGAAGGTTAAGCTTTGTTATTGTTTTTCTCATAACCCCGACTCAGGACGTAAACATTGACGTAATTTGTTGTCTGAAATTTCGTCTTGCAGACGGCTCTCATCACAGTTCTACTATTGAGAAATGGAAGTTTTGTTTGAGAAATATGCTTCTTTAATGATTCTACGAATAATATGAAAGAAGCGGGTCATCAATACTAAGTTTGCTTGCTTTTGACATAACTTTGAAATGATCCTTTTTTTCCTATCCAAACTCGACTGTTATTCTATTCGCTTTTTATTAAACTGCTTCCCTTCAAATTTGTTTTTTTTGCCGCTTATTATTTAGTAACAAAGGTTCAAACTCAAGGATTTGTAGATATTGTATTCAATATTGCTGTGAAGAATTTACAAAATTTGGGTTATACAAATGATAAGAATAGAGAGAGCCTGCAAGAGGATTTATTGATGTTAGTCAATACGGATCCGGTTTAATAGGGGATGAATGCAACCAGATGCGAACCCGTGATTAATACTTCGGTTTCTGTTTTTTAAATAATTTTAATAGTATAAACCCTTAAATAACGAAAGGCTTCATACTTGTTGAAGTTATCTGTTTATTCTTTATTGTCTTGTATTTATAATGTTTGAAATATCTGCATTTTCGGTTTATGTTGAGATCCATTTGTAAAATTTATATAAATATACATTGTCAAGTATTGGTTTTTGTAGGGATTTTGTTTGATTGCATGGAGGATTTAATCATGAGCTGACATCAGTTAGAGAACCGGCTGTCCAGTACTCCCAGGTTTTCCAGTGGTTCTCTAACTGATGTCAGCTCATGATTAAATCCTCCATGCAAATATACATTGATAGAGGGAGGGTGTCAGTTGTTTTATTTAGCTGATGCGTTTTATAAGCATTTGGACCATTTTCACTGCACACGTCGTCATGAGCCAATATGAGTTACAGAGTTCAATGAAAACTGGTAGACAGCTCTGGAGAGTTGTTTCTTCCTAGTTCTGGACTCTTCTGGAGTGTGCACCCATGGACCTTTAAGGTATCGGTTGTGGCATTGATTAGCTACACTATACTAGCTTTTTTAATCGTAATACGCCTAATTACCTAGGCCAAGTAAGGGGGAAACAGAGGTAGAATCAACTTCTTTTGTATACAAAGATTAGGATTGTCATCTCGAATTAATTCCAATAGCTTCAGATATGTATGAAAGGCGGGTTCGAATTCCATTCAAAAAGTTCAATAGAATAAGATAGATAACTTTGATGGCACTACTTCTGTCCACTCGGAGACCATTGTTGACGAAATGAGACAAAATAAAACTTCTCATAGATTTCACTTGACCTTTTTCGAAACATAAAGGAAGATGCTCAGTAAAACGTTTGTTGAACCGTCTAGTTGTTGGCCCTATATAGCTCTCTCTCTCACTACAGGACCAACTAAATTTGTAAATGCACATAGAAAACGCACAGCCAGGCAGCTTGTTTTTCGTTTGAGCAATCATAATTGGTAATTTGGAACATGACAAACAAAGAGTGGTTGCAGGAGTTTGAGTCAGTTTTATTGCTCTAGATAACCTTAGGTGTAGGACCTAATTTATTTATTGAATTGTCCATATATACACATATTACTACCTTTGTTATTCTTGTCGCCACCTGCATAAACTTTATTGTCATATTGATATATGTGTAAAACTTGGGCACTGAAGTAGTAAATAATTCCTTATTATTATAATATTATTATTATTGTATCCTTTAGTTCCTAGAGGAACATTGGGCTTCAGCTGAGCACCTCCGTTGCCTTCTGTTTTCTGCCAACGTTTTCAGCCCGCTCCAGTCCTGTCCACATGCTTTCATCTCCTCCTCGCATGACCTCCTCAAAGTCACCCTTGGACGACCAACTCGCCGCCTCCCTTTCGGGTTCCACTCGAGTAATGGCTTGTCTAGTGATGTCACTTGATGGTTTCCTCAGCGTATGGCCAATCCATCTCCATTTCTTCCTGCCTATTTGTTTCACAATCGGTTCCTGATTGGTTCGCTCATTGCCAGAGATCCCTGTTGCTGATCTTTTCTGGCCAGCCATCTGATCTTGAGTATTGAGCGAAGACAACTGTTAATGAAGGTTTGAAGTTTGTTTGAGATGCTCTTTATGACTCGCCAAGTCTCTGATCCGTATAGTAGCACTGACTGACTTCACATTGGAGTTGAAAATCCGGATCTTATTTTTGATGCTGAGTGCTGTTGACCTCCACACAGATTTGAGAGTAATGAAAGCTTGTCTTGCTTTTCCGATTCTGGCTTTGATGTCCTCGTCAGTTCCGCCTGTAGTTGAGACGATGCTTCCCAGGTAGGTGAAGGAGGTTGTTTCTTTCAGGTTCTTCCCATTTATGCTGATTGTTGTCTGTTGTTGTTGTTGCTATTGCTGTTGGCTAGGAATCTTCATCACATCTCTTTTATCTATGTTCACCTGAAGTCCTATCTTTGATGCTTCTTCTGCCAACTTGTTACTTTTCACTTGCATATCTTCCAGTTTGTGGGAAATCAGACATATATCATCGGCGAAATCCAGATCCTCCAAGTCTTTTGTGTCAGTCCATTTTATGCCTGTTCCCTCGTTGGTTGCCGTTGTCTGTCGCATTATCCAATCAATTGCAATCAGGAAGATCATTGGTGATAGTAGACAGCCTTGCCTCACTCCCGTCCTCACTTCGAAGGCTTCCGTAAGTTTCCCGTTGTGGATTACTTGGCATGCAGCATTGTCGTATAACTGTTGGATGAGATGTATAATTGTCGATGGGACCCCGTAGTAGCGAAGTAGTTTCCAAATGACCTCTCGATCGACGCTGTCGAAGGCCTTTTCAAAGTCGATGAAGTTGAGATAGAGAGGTGACTGCCATTCCAAGCTTTGTTCAATGATGATCCGTAGAGTGGCGATTTGATCAATACATGATTTGTTTCTCCTGAATCCGGCCTGTTCCGGACGAAGTTTTTCATCTAGGGCTTGTTTGATTCTCTCCAGGATGATGCGACTTAGTATCTTGCTTGGAATGGACAGAAGCATAATTCCACGCCAGTTTTTACATTGACTTAAGTCTCCTTTCTTTGGAAGTTTGAATAAGTATCCTTTCTTCCAATCCTCGGGTACTTTGCCCTCTTTCCACACCTTCTCCAGCAGTGGTGTCATCAAGTCCGCTGTTGTCTCTGGGTCTATTTTCAAAGCTTCTGCTGGGATTCCATCTGGTCCCGGTGTTTTCCCAGCTTTAAGCATCTTGATTGCATTCAGGACTTCTGATTTCGTCGGGGGGTCAGTGTTCACTGGTAGTTCTGCTTCCGTTGTTGGTATTGTTGGGCGTGTTGTAGGTGGCGGACGATTTAGAAGTCTTTTGAAGTGTTCAGCCCAGTGCTTTCTCTGTTCCACCTCTTTGGTGATTGACTTTCCATTGTCGTCCTTTATTGGCTTAATCTGTGTCGAACGTTTGCCCGAAAGGTGCCTAGTTGTTTGGTAGAGTGTGGCGAGGTCTCCTTTGCCTGCAGCTTGTTCTGCTTCGTTTGCCATGGTTTCATAATATTTTCTTTTGTCTTCCCTGGCACTCTTCTTCACTCTTTTGTTCAGTGTATTGTAGCTTGCATTCAGCTCCTGTTTTTGTTGCTCGTCAGTGCACTGGATAATCTTTTGTTTCACTGTCCTTCTCTCTTCTATTAGTTTCCAAGTGTCCGTAGTGAGCCACTGTTTGTCCTGTCTCTTTTTTCTGCCTAGAATTTCTATGCAGGTTTGGCTCCACACCGTTTTCAAGTTGTTCCAGTGCTTTTCGACGCTGACCTCTTCGCTGGTGTTGATTTGTGTCTCGGCTTTGTCCTTTATGCTTGCAATGAAGATGTCCTTTGTAGCCTGGTCCTTCAGCTTTTGAGTGTTGAACTTGGCTTGTGGTCTATCTGCAGCTCCTGATTCCCTGAAAGCTTTTAATTTGATTTGGATTGTCCCTTGTACGAGATAGTGGTCTGAGCCAACGTCTGCTCCTCTTCTTGCTTTTGTGTCCAGTAGGCTGCGCCTCCACTTCCTTGAGATTGAGATGAAGTCGATTTGGTTTTTGGTTTGCCCGTCTGGTGACACCCATGTAGCCTTGTGGATATCTTTGTGCTTGTATACACTGCCACCAATCACTAGTTCGTTGAAGGCGCAGAAGTCGGCGAAGAGTTCTCCGTTTTCATTTCTCCGAGAGCTTCTCTACCCATGATGAGTTCCCTTCCTGTGTTGTCTGGTCCCAGTTTGGCGTTCATGTCTCCCATTAGTATTTTAATGTCGCCAGCTGGAGTATTGTCCATTGTTGCCTGTAGTTGTCTATAGAATTCTTCTTTCTTTTCGAGGGCTGCGTTGTTTGTGGGTGCTTGATAAATTTCGATAGAGAAAGAAAAACCAGATTAATCACACCCTCTTTTTAAGAGAATGTGATTCATCTCTCACTCCCTTGGTAAATGATTTTCGATTACGTTATTTAGTAATCTAATTCAGTGATGTCAACTCACTGAGCAAATCTCACTATTATTATTTTATTATTATTGTTCTTAATACTTTTATTATTATTATTACTATTCCCACCATCCACATTTTATTACCACTCTATTACTGTTTATTAATAACATTCCTTTTTCACACAGATCTTATACAAAACTACTTTATAGCCTTTCCACTAGATCCTGTCCACTGTTCTACACGAGCTTATTGACTAGTTGGTCATTATCTCACACTTATCACGTACGTCATGCCAACTTCTGTCTCCTTTCTAACTAACAATTAGTCATGCTTTCTTACACCTTACATTATGTAGTAGAATTTTCAAGGACAAAGTTTACCAGTGTCTGATTGGTCCAAAAAAATTTGCCTGTTAATTATAATTACGATTGTACAGTAGCAGCTTATGAAAATGAATCGTCGAAAAGGGAAAATTTTCTTCTATGCTGTTTGTGCCTTTTTCTTAAGTGGGAATATTTCGTTCATTTTAAACATACATTAAGTTATCATAATATTTTACATGATATTTCAGGAGAAAACCAAATCGTTTTGATGGTACAAGTGGTTTTCAACATAAGTAGAGTTAAGTTACCACTTTTTGAATATTCATTGTGTTTTATATTAAATATAAAAATCTCAAAAGACCTATTCTGAAGGCTATTATAGACAGTATTCAGCATGAATAATAAGATCCATATTTCAAACTTCAATGTGAAGTCAGTGCTACTTACTATGCGGACCAGAGACTCGGTGCCACGTCAAAAAGGGCACTGGAACAAACTACATAGCTTCATCAACAGCTGTCCTCTCTCAGTATTCAAGATCAGATGACCAGGAAAGATCATCAACAGGAATTTCTGGGAGCGAACTAACTAGGAACCGATTGTGCAACAATTATGCAGGAAGAAATGGATGGTGGATTGGCAGTACTCTGAGAAACCTAACCATCAAGTGAGTGACATCCCACATCAGGCCATCGCTCGGGTGGTACTCGAATGGGAAGAGTCAAGTTGGTCGTCGGTGCGAGGAGGAGATGATGTGAAGAGGAGATGAAAGCATGTGAGCAGACTTGGAGCAGGGTGATGAAAATGTTGGCGGAGAACCAAACGCAATAGAGGCGTGCAGGTGAAGCCTTATGTTCATCCAGGAAATAAGGGAGACAATAACAATAGTTATAGACAGAAAGTTTGATTCATATTGTAGGCTATGGGTGAACTTATTTACTGTTGCAGGGGGTTGAAGAAATATAGCTTCCGGTTGAAGTTTATACTACACTTATTTTACAGCTATCTTCAGTAATCTGATAATATTGATACCATAGTGTATTTATTGTCCATGGAAATGCTAGTTAGGGGCATGAATACTGAAGTCATTCTGGGGAATATAAATATGGAACGTATTTATGGGGGTTTAAGCATAACCATAAGAGTTCATATAATGAAGAGTTTGCATTTAATAATAAAAGAAACTAGATAATAATGTTAGAGAATAAGATCTGGGATAAGTCACAGATTGGTTGGTTAAATCCCTTACCGGTGACTTGTCAGCAGACTTCATAAATTTATATTTAGCAGAACCACAAAAGCAGAATTAAGCTGGTCGATCAGCAGCACAAAGAGTAAGACATATTTGGAGTAGGTGAATCATACATAGACTTTGTTGCATACAACTTCTTTATAACTATGACAATTCAGGCTGGAAATTGGTAATTGTGCATAAATGACAAAAAAGCAATCGAAATACAGCATTGATTCATATGAATGTAGTAATACTGCCGCACATCATGACTACAACTGATAGCTGAAGCAGAAGTGGCTGTAGGTAAAAGAGACTTCACAACACAGTTTCCAACGACATGGTCGTTACCCAGGAAAGATTGACCACCGACTACATTTCGTCCGGAATTACTATCGCAGGCGCAGAACTACCTCCAACACAAACAGAAGGTGTGATAATCAGAAGTTGACGAAAATCCGGAAAGTCAGAAGTAGTGAATGAAATTCCCTAGAAGCTCTGGGAATGTACCCAGGGACGTCACTGGACATGCTCGCGCTATCTCTGTGGAAGATGTTGAAGGAAAGAAAGATACCTGTTGATAGGAAGTAAGACTACCGCGTCAAACTGCCAAAAGAAGGGCAAGAAGTTGCGCAAAGTTTTATTTCTGTCTACCCTAGGCCATATATCAAATTATATTACCCTGGATAGACTCTGGGTGAAGGAAACTGTCGAGAACATTCTGACCTCAGGAAAGATAAGTCGTGGGTGGAACACATTGCAACACTACGCATCATCATCATCATCGAACATATCTTAGAATGGCAGTTAAATCTCTAACTCGACCTTGTTGAACTTGTAAAATTCTTTGACACTACTGGCCATGAAGTGTTTTGGAAACTGCTTCAACCTCAAGGGATATCTCCACACCTTTGCCCACCTCACTTAGCAGCCGTATGGCAATATCACCTGTCAAGTGATCCAACCAAGCGTTTAAATTGAACACAGGATCAGGACCAAGCTGCCTATATACTTGATTGGAGTGGACTGGATTCTGTAACAGGCTGTGGAGAGCCAGCAAACAGGGGTGAAAAACGGTCCCAGAAGATCTGAATTTTGTAGGCGATTTATTTCTAATGTCATACAAAGTCTAATATCTTCAGGTGACAACCAACAATTCAGCAGGAGGGGCAGACAGTGAAGACGGTACTTCAAATGAACATAAAGAAGACAGAAGTAATGAAGATACTCGGGCAAAAACATCTGTGGGAACCAACCACTATCGACAACAGAAATTTGAAGGAAGTTACTGCTTCCACTTATCTAAGCAGCAGTGTTTCAATTACAGACCGTCTGCAGGGATGAAGATGTCAAAGTCAGGTGGGATCAGAAATGTATGATAGACCATCATCAATCTGAAATCAATTTGGAAATCTGCTGCTGCGCTAAGCACAAAGGATAGAAATTTGGATTTCAAATACCGATTTCAAATCAATTCTTCTATGTGGTTCAGAGACTGGATATATCATCCAAAAGTATTTCAAACGGACTTGAGAGTTTCTTCAGCAGCTGTCTTCACTCCACAGCAAATGTGAGATGGCTAGAAAAAATAAGCAATAAGTAACTTTGGTAGACAACAAACCGACAAGGAAACTGTTACCCGACAAACATTCAGAAGAAAGTGGAGACTGATTAGATACATGGTGGGGAGACTGTTGAGTGGTATCACAAGTCGTGTCCTGAAGTGGAACTCGAGGGGGATACGACGAGTTGGGCTCGGGTCCGAGAGTGACATGTAGATCGTGTGAAGAGGAGGGGATGAGAGCTAATGGGCAATCGTTGAGCCAGCTAAAGAAGGCAGAAGGGAACAGGATAAAACGGAAATGAGCTGTACCAGTCTGATGTTTCACTTTTAATCTAATTTTTATTCCTTTACTTCCCCAGTGGAACATAGGGCTTCAAGCTAGAGGCTCAAAGTTTCTGTATCAGTGGTGTTTATTATCACGAGATGGGGTTGCTAGCTTCATGTTCAACCTTCCCTCTTTACCATTCTTATTGCTGGCTTAATGAGGTAAAGCAGTGCGTTGTCTGGGCCTCGAACCCCTGACCATATTGCGTCGTCGGCGAGCATTTTACCGCTATGCCACCGACCCACTCATAACCTAGGGGAACAATAATAATTAGTAAATTCAAGCTACCGGAAGTTTTGACATCACCTTCAGTTCACTAGAATTGAACAGAACCGTAATAAAAGGATGTCCACTGAACATTAGTGAGGTAATTAAAATTCTGTTTACAAACCGACTACTTTATATTCAACGGGGATTTATGTAGACAGGCAAATGGTATAGCTTTGGGTTCCTCAGCTTTACAAATAGTTATTGATTTCTTCAGGAATAAATTTGATAGTTACACTTTCTCAAACATACAGTAAAAAATATGGCTGAGATTTATTGATGATATATATCTTTGTAGTATTGAAACGAAATCTACACAGTTCATTCTTGGGGGAAATTAAACAATCAATTTCCCAGCCTTACGTTTACTTCGGAAGTGGAGTCAAACATTCATGAGTCACCTTCTTCTAGACTGTTTTCAGATGCTCAAATCTCATCGTCTCCTGTTCGGGTTAAATTTGAGGGCCTAGTGTGTCACGTTGATTGAAGATATCCTCCACCCATAGTTCGCTAACCAGTCTTAAGTGTCGAAGAAGCATACAGAGAGGGTTTACATGGGACTAGCGACCCCGTAGAAATATGCCGTCATTTCTGCAGAAAGTTCACAGCAGAGAAACATATAAACTAAACGCAAAGTAAACAGATGAGAATAAGAGAAAACAGTTACTTCATTAGGTTGAAATTCTATTCTATTTTTTTCTTTCTTTCATCTATAAACTGAAATTTTTCTGTTCCTTTTATGCTTCACTAGATTTTTGCACTCAAAAGAAGAAAAAATTGGTTCAGAGGTGCATTGTATGTATCATGCTCAAGGATACAAGTTTATCAGTGTACTGTTTGATCATAAACCGATATCAAACTTAATTAATTCGCCTTTTATTTATCTCAATATCATTTCAACTTGTCTCATTTTTATGAAGTGAATCACGTAGTTGAGGTGAACCTGATCCATCAGTGTTTAGAGTTGTACCTGGAGCAGTTCCACTTGCAGGTACAGAGCCAGAACCAGAAGCACCAGTACCGCCAGCACTACTAGTACCACCTGTTGCTCGTGTTCTTGGCATTCTTGAGCGTACAACAACTGGTGTTTGACCAGTTTCAATACGTACCATTTCATCATTAACTAGACGTTGAAAATCACTCCATGTTTTGTCATTTAATAATCGACGCCATTTATTAAATAGTGAATTAAGATAGTCAATCTTTTGACTTGCATCACTTCTGTTAATTTATAATAAAAAATGTATTTAGAAGAGAAACATAAAACACGAAATTAGTGGAAGAAAAGTCATATATTATGAAAATAAATGAAATGAATATGCAAATTCCCTTAAGAATGATCAAACCAAAAAAGTAATTACCAAGACTGATCCATTTTTAAATTGATTTGGGAGTTTTTGATTTAATTTAATCAGGAATACGTGCAACCAATAAGAAGACTCTACAGGATAGGGATTTCTCAGATGATTTATGTTTAATGTCACACAAACTCGAAAACTTCAGAGTAGAAACGAATAAACTGACTGAAGAAGCTAACAGAGAAGACAGAACTCCAGGTGAACATACAGAAGACGGAGGAGATGAAGATAACCAACCGCCGACACCACCACCAACAACAACAGTCAGCGTCAGTAACCACCAACGAGAGAGATTTGAAGTAGTTTACATCCTTCACCTATCTAAGAAGCAGGGCTTGAACCACAGGTCTATGGAATAGATGAAGATGTGGAAGCCAGGCAGAATCGAATGGGAAAGGTACACCGTCATCAACCTGGAACCAGTCTGGAATTCTTCTGCGCCCCATAAAGACAACAGAATTCTGATTTTTAACACCGATCTCAAGTCAGACATTGTTTCTTTTTGTGTCAGAAACTTGCACTTCGCGTCATGTAAAGCCTTTCCAGGAAGCCACTGTAGACTTTTATCAATATCTGCCTTCTCTGGCTCTATATTGAAGATCAGATGGCCAGGAACAACCCGTAACAAGAAACTCTTGCTGGTAACAAACCAACGGGTGAGAGCCGATCGCTCAAGAAATATGTTGGAGGGAATAGAGATAGATTGGGCCACCGAATGACATCGCGTACCAGGCCATCGAGTGGGATCCCAATGGGATGTGACGACGAGTGGGTTGTCAGTGTGAGGGTGACAATGGAGGGATTGTGTAGCGAGGAGGAGATGAGGGTTTATGGGCAATCTCGGACCCAGATGAAGAAGACAGCAGATGATAGGGAGAAGTGGAGATGTGTTTTTGAAGCCTTGTGTTCCACTCGGAACCCAAAGGAATAATAATGGAAAAAATAATAATTATTAGTTATATTACATTGTTAATGATTCTTATTTTTAAATAAGAAGGCGAATCTGAATCAAACTAAGGGATGTACCTACTAAGTCTTCTAGCTATGAAATCCTTTGATGTAAACAATAACACCCTCTTATTTTCCAAATTCCACCTTCATATCATTTAAAGTAACTATGGTTATCTCAGACAGATCGTCTCAACAGCACTCCACTAATTACTATTCATTTAGTTGGGATTAAAACCGGTATAACTTCAAGACTGATTAACTATATATTTTCCTAGTATTTAAACACAAATTATTCCATTAACAAATGTACTGTGAAGGTTGGTGGTATGAATGAATTCTGAATACAGAACTTTTCATAGAATTGCTACAGTTCACTCTATCATACTTCAAAAAAGACCTCACATATATGTAAAAAGAAAAAAACGAAGGAAGTGCAATGAAAATACGATAAAAAGAATTTTGTTGAAGATAGAATAATCATTTGGAACTAGGGAACAACAAACAGTGAACTCATATGTACTACTGAGAATAATTTTGTGGCATTTTACCGATAGTCTCTAGACACCGGATCCTGGAGTTACGATAAACTCAACCAAGCAATAATTGCACACCTCTCTACATAATCTGAAAGCAACTGTCAAAGTCTTCATGTCACCACTGAATCTCTTTTAACTTAATCATACTTCAAAAAGAGTTAAACTTTTGACGAGAGGATAATAAACATGAAGATAATCATTTCGAAGGTCAATTTTTTTCTGGTTATAATGTTGAATACCAACTAAACCTGTGATGTGATGCAGATTGGTGATAGAAAGCAGCCAAAACTGAAATCAACATTTTAAGTCAATGGCTGTAGTGTTAGAAGTGTTTATCCTACATATCTGAATTTAATTTACGTTGTGGTCATGAAAAAGCCTGGTTGGATAACCTGTTTAACCTTGTCCCAACCGCCGACCAATCAGAACAGTTTATTCTCTTCTGACCTTGCCAAACGTTAATGTGGCTAAGGATGTATAAATACGATGTGTTTTCCCTCAATAAAACTTTGTTACCAAGTCTCTTGTCTTCTCCCGTTCCAAATATTCACAAGTACATGACAAAATACTGTCTGAGTCTTCTTTTTCTTAAAAATGGCTTAGTTTACTCATAAACACATAAACTTGCTAAATGCTTAGTAGAATTATTGCATCCAGTTAAAACACAATTCTGTAAGTATGTATTAAGAGATTTTAGATTTTTTAGATTTACAGCTTGATTCCACACTGTATTTTCGGTACAAGTATGGAATTTTCAGCATGGATATCCGTAGCCCAAATTTCGCAGGCCGACCATAGATATCAGGTGTGCGCCGGCGTCGGCTCGAACCCCGGGCCATGTGCATGGTCGGCGAGAGTCCTAACCACTGTGCCACCGACGCACATATGTGAACTGGTTAATTTTCTTGACGATATTAATATTATGAACAAAAATATGTACTCTATTAATGTAAACGCTTTATTCACTAATGTTCCTTTACTTAAAACAATTGACATTTTGTGTGATTACATTTCAACACACAATTTCTTCATTCCGTTTCCTATATCTTATTTGAGGGATTTATTACTTGTGTGTACTAGCAATATTAAGTTTACATTTGAAGACGATGTTTCCGCCAAGTTCATGGTGTTGCTATGGGAATTCCGTTAGAGCCCTTTTTAGCAGATATTTATATGTCGTACATTGAGAATTTTTCGGAGGATTTAATCGAAAATGTGTCGCTTTATAGGAGATATGTAGATTATATCGTAGACATCAGTGATAAACCTTGTTCTGCCAGCTCAATGTAAAATCGAATGAATGAAGCCCAGAATAGCATACCACTTACATCTGTAGATGAGGAAGATAATCGTTTATCTTTCCTAGACATATTGCTTAGTCGACGGTTTGATGGGTCAATAAAAACACCTATTTATAGAAAACCTACCTGGACAGGACAGTATCTTAATTACAACAGTTTCTGCCCTGTTTGGTACAAAAGAGCCTTAGTGAGTGAGGTGCCTCTTCAGTAGAATCCAACGAATATGAGCCGAAGACACACATGATGGGGAGGAAAGAAGGTTGACACAAACTCTGACTGATAATAATTATCCAGACAAGTTCATCAGAAGATATAATGTAGTCAGAACACCATTACCAATTCACCAACTTGCCTCTCAGAAAAACTTGTACATCAAGCTACTCTATATGCGTGATCAAAGCAGGTTGGTAACTTGACAACGGTTGAACGCTGATGTTACAAAGACTTTTTATGCAGCTAATTTCATAATAATTGAGAATGTGAAGCCAACATATCCATCTAAGCCCTTTGAACATGTGAAAAATGATGTCATGTCCCACCGCATTTATCAGTCTGAATGTACGTGCGGACGTGCATACATAGGGAGGACTAACCGATCTATGCAAGTAAAGGTTGGCATCAGAGCATATTACTAAATGCCTCCAGAAGCAATTCGAATCCCCGTAACCTATCAATGGTGGAAGCAAGAGACCTAGCTCCTCAATTGAGAAACATATTACAGATGAGACAGGACATAAAAGTGATGTTTACATGTCTTTAAACCTGTCCATCCATAAAACGTGTTTGGGAGAGGCTGTATCCTAAAGTTTGTGGAAGCCTTAGCAATTAGAAAGTTTAAATCACCTTTATGCGTTCAAAGCAACAATTCGTCATCACACTAAACCTTCCTTGGTAACTTTGTTTTGATACCATAGCATATGTACTATTACCTCTGTTATTTGGGAAGCGGCGAGTTGGTCGTCCAAGGGTGACTTGGAGGAGGTCATGTGAAGAGGAGATGAAAGCATGTGGGCAGACTTGGAGCAGGGTGAAAAAGTTGGCAGAAGACCGAACGCAATGGAGACGTGTGGCTGAAGCCCTATGTTCCTCTAGGAATTAAAGGATATAATAATAATAATTGTTATTTTTACCATGAATATGTCCTTTTAACTTGAACTAAGTCTATTTTCTCACCTCTTACCTCTTTATTAATTTCATATATACACATTCCTATGACAAGTCCGTGTGTGATCAGATTGTTGAAAATGTCTTTAGCAAATACAAACAATACACGATCCAGACAAATTACGTCTTCTTATTGCTTTGTCTAACTAAATTCATAAAGGAACCTTAGTGTTTTAAATTTAGTTTACTCTGTTGTAATTTTTGGGTGAATTGTGAATCCATTATTCGATCAGAATAATAAGATGGGATTCTAACTCCAACCATTAGAAAATTGGATTCCAACGGATTAGCTGAATGATACTTTGACTGCTGCATGACCTAAACCTGCTAAGTATGATCCGTTATAGGTTTTGGGATGCGTACTGCTAAAGAGTACCAAACTAGGGTGAGACAGCTGTCAGTTTGTAAAAAAAAAGTAAAATGTAAAGAAATTCCACTTTGATTGATACTTACTTTGAGCCTAGAACACGTGTAGCATGTGTAACTTGTATGTAATAAAGATCACGATATGTGTTCAGTGTAACACAATGTTCTTGTAATAAACTGTTATGTATAAAAGGGAATGAAATGATTACACAGAGAGAGAGAGAGAGATGTGCATTACAAAAAGACAATGGTAGAGAATAATCAGAAATATTTAAATAATTAGAATGGGTTCTATGTGAATAAAGGTTTCCAATTTTTTCCGTCATAAAAGTCTTCAGGGTATATCCATTATTTTTTATATTAAATAGTTTATCATACCCCATCAAGAGAAATATACCTAGTGATATTCTTAGTCGCTGGTTTTTAGATCTGTAGCAGTGAATAATTCTTAAAAACTATAAGACTACAACATTTTTAATAGGACGATAGTTATTAATTAGTGTAATGTGTCTAGCCCTCCGTTTGGTGTAAAATGAATGCTATCTGTCAAGCTGGCAATGTAACCACCATGATAGGTGGCTTGTCATCACGGTGCACTGTGAACTGTTTGTATTAGATTGTTGGAGGCAGTCGACCACAGGAAGGAAGCCTTGGCTGACCCAGGTTTCGTGCTAGTTGGCACTGACCAGTCAATAAGGTGTATTTGCCACGTTAAAGCATGGCAGCCACTCTAAAGACTGTCAGTAGGGTGAGTGGTATCCTGTTAGGTCAGATCATTGACATCGTCATTGACAGGCGCTTGATTTCGTGTAAAAAATTTGCTAAAGGGATTTTTTCAGACATCAAGGATCCACTTTACCCACAGATTTCACCTTGTATCTCCTTAGGTAGAACAAGAAGTCATTTCAAAAGACTTTATACACGTATGTCTAAGTATAAAAATTCCATGATACGATATTTGGTGGCACGTATTTTATGTGATGAAAATAGAGTCATACAACGAACTAACTAAATAACTAACCTTCTTCCCACTAGTAAATAAACAATTTTCTCCATCTTTATTCCACCAAGCTTTCCTTTTATTATTATTCTTTTATTTACAATCCTCTCGCGATTTTTGTTTATAAGTGTAAAGATTATTTAAGCTCAGTAATAATTGTTGTTTCTTGTTTTTTTCCTTCACCACGCTATATCAAGAGAACATTAGAGTCAATACTCTATAACATGCTAAAATTTCCATACTGTATCGACAATATGGTTGGAAACAAACCCACTGTTATTAATGTTAGAGTTATTATTCTCATTTTGTACTCTGCATATTTTTGACTTTATTCCCCTGTAAATGTGGACGAATTCCTTTGGTTTATTTTATTTATATCTTGAGTAAATCAGATGCGAGATATTGTGACAAATGCTGAGAATTCCATTCTGTATTATAAGTAGTACTGTTTTTGGAATAAAGCAGACCACTATTATTATTATTGTCAACCTTTGCGATTTACACTAAGCTTATCTTGTCTCAATTGTTTGACTATAGTTCACTATTTGACCACTTTATTTTATCATTATCTTTTTTATCTGTAAATCTGTCAGATAAACGACGAAAATAATCCAGTCATTATCAAAGACAGGCCACAAACAGAAATATCAAGTGGCGCTTCATTAGAATGCACTATACAGTCAAGCTCATGTTCATAGAGATGACAAAACATGTATTCTTTAGTAATCCCTCACAGAATTTGAATCATGGTATCAAGTCATACAGTATTTATCAATTTATAAGTATATGCCTTCATTTATGCGCATTTGGGACGACCAGTCAATCTTTACCTATTATGGTAACTGACAATATACTGAAATCATCCGACCCTTACAGCAAAATATCGAAAGCAATCAGTTGCAAAGCATACACAGGAGATGATGAGTGGTAGACTTCATTCTAGCACCACATTTACACCCAGATGCAAAACATGTATGGGATATAAGCGTATGCTTTTGGTGTATTTACGTTCTTTGAGGTGGTTGGTTTAATTGCAAAGATTTTGCTATCCCTCTATAGACAACACCTTCAATGATTTCTTCAATGCATTGTGAATTTTCTCTTGAATTCTGTAAGAATGATATAACTGTCTTTCCTAGTGATACTGATTATGATTAGTTGTCTCCATTGATGGAGAATTTCAAAATTCCCAGTTCATATTAAAGTAAATGCTGAACTCATTATCAAGAAGAAGAGAATGAAAGCTTGGTAACTGATTTATCCATCTAAGGAAACACAATCACAATGTGGTGAGAGCAGACTGCTAACCAATTGGTAGACATTAATTTACCTCAATGTCTAGGTCACTAATATTGGCCATGAGAAAATATGAACAAGGTTGATTCAACAACCAATCACAGCAGATTTAACGTGGACAAATAAGATTTGCAGATAGATGGCTTAACTTTCTGAGAAACCAGTCACAAGCAGTACAGAATAACCTTGAGCAAGAAGCGACCAATCAGAAGACTGTGTTTGTTTGTTAAATAAGCTATAATAACGTACATGAAATATATATAAATACGTGCTGATTTCTTGAATAAAATGATCTGTTGCCTGGCCCTTGTCTTCTGTTGTTACAATATCAAGTCATTCACTTGAGATAGGAATCGTCTCCATGATTCTAACCTGCTTCCAACTGTTAAGGCCTCAGTCATAAATAAGGTTTAAATTTATATTAATTACTTAGCAAATTATTTGTCACTAAATTAATCATCCCTTGCTGAATCAGTTTCAAGTGTAAAGGTTCATTTATACATCACTATTATTCTCTTCTTTTGTCTGTGATTGCGTGACCCGGGAATTGAAAGTGTAACCCTTATTTTTTGAATTTCAGCCTTTTGCAATCTATGAATTGAGAACATCGTTATGGATGAAAAGGTGACTAAAATGGATAAGGACCAAGGAACTCTGACAGAAAACTGACCAACTGACCAATCCGATAAATATTCTCAAAGAAAAGGAGATGAATTGGGTGTATGCTGAAGTGGTGTATCAGTGACATCATACACTAGGTCAACCAGTGCAACCTAAATGAGACCATTAAGGCATCCGAGGGTACCGTGGAATAGACCATGTGAGGAGAAAATGGAGACTCTTGGACAGTCGCAGAGCCAGCTACAATGGAAATTAGAAGACAGAGTTGAGTAGAGAACTGCTGCTGGGGACCCTGTTTTTCATTTGGTAAACAATGATTGAGAAGTGTATATAAACGTCTCGCTCCATTACATTAAACATGTTAGATAAATTATATCTTCTCATAGTCTTGTCAAAACACACCGAAGAAAACAATTTACTTTGAATACTTGTTGCACAAGATGCAACTACTATGGCTGAGTGTTTTTGTTTATTTATTTATTTTATTGATTTCCGTTCCCAATGGAACATAGCACATCGAGCTAGAGGCTTGAAGTTTCCGTAGCAGTGATGTTTATTTTTATGGAATGGGGTTGTTAGCCAGCCTCATTCCCAACGTTTCCCTCTTACCAATCTTATTACTGGTTTAGTGTGGTAAGGGAGTGCGTCGACCGGGGTTCGAACCCTGAACCGACTGCCTGGTTGGCGAGCAGCGTTCTACTGCTGTACCACCGACGCATAGACTGAGTAGCTTTCGAGATAATATTTCAGCTTTAGAATTGAAATATTCTGAGTTTTAATTTCAGTAGATTATATAGTATATCCAGCTGACAGGTTCCAACATATACTACATTTCACCACTAGCTACTGTTGTACAAGCAAACTAATTCACAGAATTGAGAAACAATAAAAATTAAAGCGCTAAATGACTTACTCATAACGAATTTGGATACTCTCAAGTTCTTCTTTCAATTTTGCTGTTTCTTCAATTTTATTTAATAAATTATTTTTTACATCATCATATTTTGTTCTTGGTACTTGTGATTCATATTCACTTTCATATTCTGTAACACGTACTTGCAAGTTATTTATTATTTTATATGCTTGACTAATTAAAAAGGTGAAACACACAAAATGGTTACTGCATGAAAACAAGACATGACAAAACATGTAGTATTGTAACAACAGAAGACAAGGGCCGGCAAAAGATCGTTTTATTACAGAAATCAGCATGTATTTATATATATTTCATGTACGTTATTATAGGTTATTCAAGTAGACAAACAGAGTCTTCTGATTGTTTGTTTTCGGGTTTTTCTGAAAGTTAAGCCATATATCTGCGAATCTTATTTGCCTACATTAAGTCTACTGTGATTAGTTGTTGAAACAACCTTGTTCATATTTTCTCACGGCCAATATTAGTGACCTAGACATTGAGGTAAATTAATGTCTACCAGTTGGTTAGCAGCCTGCTCTCACCACAGTATAAAAGATATGAGCATTACATGTCGGGATTTCTTTTCAGGTGAATTCAGCTTAAAATGTGCTGTGAGGGGATAGCGTACTTCTTTTAATTCTCAAGTACTGGTTTGCAAGGATCACTAGCTGACCTTTGCTGAAGAACCATTGAGAAATCACGGAGTAATGGGTAGCTATTGCGTCCTACTTTGAGACGCCTCATCAGTTCACCACTGCCGTGGGTTGAACTCAGAACCTTCCAGTTACAAACCAAGCTTGTGGAGCATTCAGTTATTGAGAAGAAGCTAAGCATGATGGTAGTCATTTAAGGAAATAGTAAAGGTGCAGTGTCGTGACTTGAACATTAAAGTTGACATGAAAAGAAACCAGTTATTCATAATAACTTTGGAAGAAAACTGACAACAAAAGACTATTTTACCCAGCAACATACAGAAAGACTTTTACGCAGTAACACATAAGAGGCTACTTAGAACTGATTTGAAACAGGCTAGGTATACTGAGGTGAGTGGGTGGAAAAAACACAGCAATAATCATATCAGGAAATAGAATATGTAATTATGTAATAGGGAGTGTAATTGTTGCCAGAATAAGTTCAAATAGATCCTGGCTTTTGAATACACAATTATGAACTAATTAGCCTGATAGCAACAAATTCGGTTAAACGAGGTAAATTTCAGTTTGATTGCATGGGGGATTTCACCATGAATTGACATCAGTTAGAGAACCACTGGAAAACCTGCGGGGAGTACTGGACAGCTGTTTCGTTCTAGTTTGGGACTCTTCACAGCACGCACCCACCGAGGTTCGAATCCAGGACCTTCTGGTTACAAGGCGAGCTTGTAGACAATTGAGCTACTGGGACCCGATCTAATGGTCCTTAAATCCTAACTTCTGCCAATTCGCGATATAGCGCGACCACTTCGCAATCATTTTCAAACCTCGTTGGGTGCGTACTGTCGAAGAGTCCCAAACTAGGACGAAATAACTGTCCAGTACTCCCTGCAGGTTTTCCAGTGGTTCTCTAAATGATGTCAGCTCATGGTGAAATCTTACATGCAATCGAACAAAATCCCTACATAACCAAACTTGAAATTTCAGTTTGTTCGCTTGTCACTAATATTGTGGAGTGTGCTACTGACAAGATTTATCCGTAGTATGTAGACGCAGACTGATAGAAGGTAGCTAAAATTGCAAAAAACAATTTAAGCCAGTGGCTGCAGAAGTAGAAGCGTTTATTTCTCAAATCTGGATCTAGTTAACGTTGTGAGAAATGACCACAAGGATTAACCTTCAGAAAATCAGCAACCATTCAGAACAGTTTATTATCTTCTGACCTAACCAACCATAAATATGGCTAAAATGTACAGATATGGCGTGATTTTCGTCAATGGAATAAAGTCCATTGTTTTTCAATGTCTTTTCGAGAATCAGAAACTATTCCTCTAATTTCTCTGTAGAGTATATTCTTCTGATTTTATAGAAAGGAGCTTTTACTTGTGTTCGTTTACAGCACAACGGTTATACTCAGAGGTTCATTAACAAATACAGAAGATGTGAAGGGTCTAATGCCAAACAAATCATAGTAGAAAAAAAGCCAATCTTCATTGAACTTGATTTTAAAGGTGAAAATATCACAGCAATTGTCAACAGAAGACTGAGGACTTCACTAACCAGAGCCTATTCCTCAGGTAAGTTGGTTCCCATTTATCGGACTACATGCCTTTTTGGTGCAGTTAAACTTTGATCGATGTCCTTCTTCTGTTAACTCTAGCTGTGCATACAAATTCACATGTATTTGCGAGAGCAGTTATATCGAGAGAACAGAAAGAAGGGCATATCTTCGGTTTTTTGAACTTGTACCAAAATGCCTACGTCTAAAGGGAATAAATGCTTTTAACAGTGCCTTCGTCAGGCAGCTCCTTGACACGAGTCATGAGGTGGACATCGCAAAATCGTTCAAAATTATCAACAGACAAAATAGTTTAATTATCCTCAGGTTTGCCGATGTATTCCCCATCAGACACCTGAAACCTAATTTATGCGTTCATGAAGAAGCAGTTATCAGTCTTCCTTTGTCCTGGTAATTGCATTTCTTTGCTCTCTATATCATTTGATTATGTTACGACAAAAATTCTTTTGTGTATGACTATTGTTTGGGATAAAGTGATTAATATTATTATTATTATTACCAATGTATGCATTGATGTTTTGTTTAAAAGTGAACTCTGTGTAGGTATGTTAAAACTGTTTCTGTAGGAATATTTGATAATATCTTTGGGCAGTATGCAGCTATTGAGAAGCCAACGAAATAAATGATGATACCATTTTATTCTGCACAAACTGCTGACCTTGCTTAATTCAAATTCATATAGTAAAATAAAAGTATTGAATGAAATATTGGGTAGCTCTGTAGTGGAAGATGACTGTTGGTGTAACAGGAGAAGATTGAAGATGCAATAAAAACCTGAATCCCTGTAAAATTCGTACCACCAGCCTCCTAAATACTAGTTTAACTGTCTAACAGCTAATCTACAAGAATCATCTGCCAACCAGGTTATCATTTCATCGTAATCACTGAAGACAGAGCCCAGATATTTTGTGAAAGAACACATGCTATGGTATTAATGGAACGTGGTGACGAGGCTTCACCGAGAAAACCTGCCACATCAGCTCTTTCACAAGCGCATATGAAAAATGACTCGAAGTCTTGAGCACGATAAAGCAGGACGAAAATATGAATGTTACAAGAAAGGGATTTGATTAGGTGTTATTTTTTTGCATTCTTTTGCATTTCTAGCGGAACAAAAGGCTTCAGCATGTTACCTCTAAAGTTTCAATATTGATAGTGTTTTTCTTACGGAGGCGAGTTGCTAGCCTCATTCCTAACCTTCTCTCCTTTTTCGCAGTTTACTGCCAACTCCTCTGGCGTGCAAACTGCATGGCAAACACACAAAGATTACTGCTCAGCTAAAGATATTCAGAAGACTCCTCATTTTATCAGCGTATCCACCTAGGAGGAAAATATTATCCGCATATTCTAAGGCAACAGGGTTACTCCCTGGTAATAAGTCAATCCGCCAGTCAGTGAAGTCACTTAGGATTAGGTCTATTAGTACATCTCTGATGAAATTAAACAGAAATGCGGAAACAAAACGACTGTCTCCCTAGTTTCTGGTTGAGTTCATCAGCAGTATACTCTAGTAGGACTCAATTCATAAAGGCTGAATTATTTCAGTCCCAGTTGACATGAGCAGTATCCTACAACTCACACCAGTCAATCAGTGACATTTCTGTTTGTTTTCTCGATCGTCATTTACGCTATCAAGTAGACCATGGATTGCTATCTGAACATTTTCTGTTTGTTGTAAGGGAAACTATGGTGAAGTTTCACTTCGAAGTCCATAAATTGCAAACTATAAATTAATTAGAAAACTGAGAATTTGTGGTACTGAAGAGGAGTTTAGCTGAGTTGTTCACCGCAGACAGTTGTTTTCAGTAAAATGGGCAATAAATAAACGGAAAAAAGCTAACAGTGTATTCTTTGAATTACTCAAGTGCTATTCTCAATTTAATTGGATCTTCTTTGTCATCAGATACTTCAGCTCTGGCTAACATTTCCATTTCTTTTAATCTTGAAGTTAGTTCATTCACTTCAGTAATCAACAGTTTTCTTCCATCAAATTCTGTTCTCCATTCATCTTCTTTCTTCTCTAATTCACTTGTTAAATGATCAACCTGTACACGTAGTAATAAAAGGACGAAAATTATGCATATGTATATGACTTATTGTTCTGTTATACTTTTCAGTTTACTAATGTAAATTTAGAACATGGGCACTGTGGTAGGAATGTAATTCCATATTAGATAAGTTTATTTGAAATAACGCACAGCGACAATGCAGTATTAACAAGTGAATGCTGTTTCGAGTATAAATTATTGCCTCTCATACAGTTTCACAATTTCTTTGATATGTATTTCCTCTCTCTCTCTATTCTGTCTCTCCAATTCACTTTAGTTGTTTGTTGCCACATTCCATATCTCTAGTAGAGGCGGCATAACTGGGAGGAACTTGAAAGAAACTACCTCCTTCACCTACCTAGGAGGCATCGTTTCAACTACAGGCGGACGGAACTAGCGAGGATATCAAAGCCAGAGTCGGAAAAGCAAAACAAGCTTTCATTACTCTCAAGCCTATGTGGAGGTCAACAGCACTCACCATCAAAAATAAGATCCAGATTTTCAACTGCGATGTGAAGTCAGTGCTACTATACGGATGGATCGGGGACTTGGCCAGTGCGTCATAAAGAGCATCTCAAACAAACTTCAGACCTTCATTAACAGTTGTCTTTGCTCATTACTCAAGATCAGATGGCCGGCCAGGAAAGATCAGCAACAGGGATCTCTGGCAATGAGCGAACCAACCGAGCAGGAACCGATTGTGAAACAAATAGGCAGGAAGAAGTGGAGATGGATTGGCCATACGCTGAGGAAACCATCAAGTGACATCACAGACTAGACAAGCCATTGCTCGAGTGGAACCCGAAAGGGAAGCGGCGAGTTGGTTGTCAGTGCGAGTGTGACTTGTTAGGGATGAATGTGAAGAGGAGATGAAAGCATGTGGGCAGACTTGGGGTGGGGTGAAAAAGTTGGCAGAAGACCGAATGGAAGGGAGGTGCGCAGCTGAAGCCCTATGTTCCTCTAGGAATGAAAGGAAATAATAATAATAATAATAATAATAATAATAATAATAATAATTATAGTAGAGGTGGCGTTGTGTCATTCCGATTGGTGTTGAATCAGTTAACACAGCTTCAGTGGCACAGTGGTTAGGACTCTCGCCGACCATGCACATGGTCCGGGGTTCGAGCCCACGCCGGCGCACACCTGATATCTATGGTCGGCCTGCAAAATTTGGGCCACCGATATCCCTGCTGAACATTCCATACTTGTACTAAAAATACAGTGTGGAATCAAGCTGTAAATCAAAAATAAAAAAAAGATTAACCTCACTCTCTCTCGCGCCACCTAACTATATTACTTTTTAATACTCGCAACCTGTCCTATCCTTTTGTGTGATTATATGCAAGTGAATGCAGTGCAATGCACTGGCTGAGATATTTTATAGGTTATTTAGTATAGCAGGGCTTACGACTCTAGGTGTAGCTTAATTTTTATGTTGCAATCTACTAGTTTGACCTATGCGTAATTGACCTCACCTTCAGTCACCACATGGCATCTGGTAAATTATATCATTTTTCTTAATCCGAACTATTGAGTTTTTAATCCAACAAAGTTGATCTCTGACAGAGTTAGTTGGTTGGTTTAAATGCCACTGCTATTAATTCATGCCTCATTAAGAATCCTATGCAAGGCCTCTGACGTTTGTTCTTAATAGGGCAGTACTACAGAGGCTTTGAATTCTATATTATTTTCATCATTTCCATTACTAATTTAATTTTTCCGATGAGTCGTAATAGACTTCTGAATAAATTCTGGTGAGTAGTGTGTCATTCACTGATAGTAATATTCCCTTTATTTGTCTGATTTCATTATGTAAATCTTCTGACTTACTAGTTAGACTCCCGGTGCGATTATATCGACATTTAACTAAACCTATCCTCTTTCACAGATTCTGCATGGCATAAATTAAAGTCTAAGTATTTATTAGTGTGAAATCACTAGACAAGCCTTCGAGTGGAACCCGAGAGGGAAGCTGCGAATTGGTCGTCCAAGGGTAACATAGAGGAGTTCATGTGAAGAGGAGATGAAAGCATGCGAGCAGACTTGGAGTCAGGTGAAAAGGTTACCAGAGAACCGAACGCAGTGGAGACGTGTAGCTAGATCCCTATGTTCCTCTAGGAATTAAAGGAAACAATAATAATAATAATTCATTAGTGTGTGTCGGTGTCCTATAAATGCTAGTATCTAACCACCCACCATCTTGTTTTCGATTTATTCTACAGTCTAGCATGGTTAACTCACCGTGTTTGTTTTTTAACTCACAAGTGAATTAGATTCCGTCTACTATTGGGTTTACATGGGTGAAAATATGAGGGATATGTTCAGATTTGAACGCAGTGAATGTGTCACCCACATATCTCCACCATTACCTAAGAGGAGGATTGTCCATTATAAGAGTCTTATGTTCCCAACTATCTATAAATATGTCAGCTACTATTGGGGATATTGATGATTCCATTGCCATCCTGTTGGTTTTTATATATATAGTTTATTTTGAAATTCGAATACAGTGGAAGTTAGACATAACTGAACATCTAATATTATTTGGTCAACCGGGAACTTCTTAGTCCTAGTTTTGAGTTCAGGATCAATGTTCATTTTAGAAGACGTGTTCTATCTTGTCTGGGACTTCTTAGCTTAAGATTCAGGTATAAGAATAAAACCTGAGCACTGTGGTAGAGTATAATTACATTATGGAAAAACTTTTATTTTCATGATTTCTCAATGTTATAACACTGTGAGACTTTATCAAAATAAAACTTTTTCTCCATAATATGCTTCAAATACCTTCAACTAGTCCCCCCCAGAAAGGATGAAACTCATATCTTCGATTTCAGTACTATTCAGAACTGACAGAATAACACCATGTTTATCACATAGAATAGTGAGGGTTAACATGTTAGTCAGGCTAGTAAATCGGCAAGAAATACTTTTCATTTTCTATCTCCCAGCTAACTTATCTTTGTCCCTGCTTTTTTTAGGCTGCATACATCTGATCAAATATGCCAGTAATAGAATACTAGGTTGACTCTTTTATCTTTTTGAGAGCCCTTAGTAAAGTTTGCCTGCTTGCCAATATGATCCAATGGTGATTTGGGACTGAAACTGGTACTTGTCAAATCAGGTGTTTTCCGCCAAAATGATATATTATTATTCCCTTACGTTATGGGCGGAACACAGCACATCTCCACTTTGCTTTGTTCTCTGCCATCTCGTCCACACATAATCCCCTTCATGTCACCTTCGGATATCCAAATGGTTGCTGGTTTCTCATCCAGGCTTCACTGAAGGGCCTGGCATGAGATGTCGCTCAACGGTCTCCTCGGTGTTTGTCCGATCCATATACATTTTCTTCGGCAGACTCGTTGAAGAAGAGGTCTTTGATTGGTTCGTTTCCTGAGTTTCTTAGTGCTAATTTTCCATGGCTATCTGATCTTTATTCTCACCCAGCTTATTAATTTGTTAATTTTTTAACCGGGAAAATAAGCAAGGTTAGGCGTTGGACTAGCGAGTCTATCCCAGAAAATCAATCTAAACACTACAGAAACTTCAAATCATAAGTAAAATATAAAAGAGAAGCTTATTCTTCACTAGAATTGGAGAGTCGAAATAATGTGAGCTGGTGAAAGCCTTCTGGAAGCCAGTTAGCCAATGTGTCTTCAACTGATGAAGGCAAAAATAAGCGTTGTGACGTTGAATGATCTTACAAAGTGCAAGGCTGGGACGGCTGCAGAGGTAGCCAAAGAAATGAGAAGATATGACACAGAATCAGCATGACAAGCCATGAGAAAAGAAGAAATGGTATCACTCTGAAGCCTACACAGTCGTATTTTAATGCTATGCTTAGGTATTAAAAGCCAGACTGATAGCAGCTACCATGGTATGGTAGCCGGGCGTGCTTATGCTAGTGACCTAGTGAGCTGGAATGAATGTTCTTGCATGTGTAAGGATACAAGAAACATCTTTTAGATAGTCGAACGAGCCTTTTTATACCTTCTAGGATTTTGTCAGTGATCAGTTTATTAGGCTGGTGCAGCTTCCCAAACAGGTTAAATGGTCAACACATTCAACCGCTCCAGTCTTTGTTTTTAAGTGAGAAATTAATCCCGATCAATCTTGTGAAATCACCTTACATGTGACTGAAGCTATCCCTATAGCAAGCATACTCAGGATTCCCTTTAAGCTGTCCAGAAGACTCTACTTTTATCATCGGTTTTACTTAAAAGGAAAGACTACGCCATCTGAGGATTTGAGATGGACCATAATCCTCAATCCCTGAAATGTCAAAAACTGCTACGATCACTTCCAGTAAGACATCTGCGATGAAAATTAAATGAAGTTGGTGTCTTAAGCATTTCTGATGGACACATCTGGTCTTCGTAACCATCTTTCAGGCTTATTAAAGCATTCGTATTCTAACCCCTCTTTAACCAGTACATTTTAATAATAATAATAACAATAGATCTATTCCAAACAGTATTTGTGGTGCACTTATGAAATTTTCCGCGTGCATTACAATATATTGCATCTAAATACCTCATACATTTTATAAGATTTTAAAGTCAAAAAGCAACACCCAAAAAAATATTTTAAACAATGCACCACAGGATATGAAGTATAAAATTGGTGTATAATAGAAGATAAGAACAACAGTGTAATAGTAACGAGGAAAGGAAAACAAAAACTAATAGGGCTATTTGTTAGAGTGCCGCAGTAAGTTTATCGTATCATACCTAACGGATTTCTCATCACATAACAGCTGTGTCAGATTTGGTATTGTGGAGATTTTGTATTTGGTAGTCCTAGCATAAAGCCTCTTATAGCTGCTTCTAGTTCTACCAGATGAAATGCAAGGAGACAGCTGAGTATAGAGAGAGAGGATGCTCGGGGTGTGACAATATTGTGTACGCTAGTTTCTTACATGACATTCATAATATGTCTATCCACAATAGTGTCAACCAGTTGGTTGAACGATATCCCACTTGCCCTACTAACGGCTTTTAGTGCCTGCCCTTCTCAGCAAAGCAAAGTCTTTTTTAAGTAGTTCAGGAAATATTAATGGGGAGCAGTAAAGGCGGGGGGATGGGTAGAATACAAGACTTGACAAACTGAGAAAGCAAAGACTGCTTTATGCCAGACTGCCTAAATTTCCTAATGTAGAACGTTAAGTGAAACATCTTTCTAGTAACTAGCAACATGTGGGAAGATCAGGTAAGACCGAAGGAAATACTCAGTCCAAGGTACTTGACATCAGATGTATTTTCAACCTCTGTGCCGTCAATGAGAGTGGGGCCATGTGAGCTAACTAGTTGCTGTAGGTCACGTTTACGTCTGAAAGTGAAATTGACTACCTGATATTTAGACGGATTAAGCTTAAGACCGTTTGAAGAGGACCACTGACTAATTTCCGACAGAAAGTTATTTAATTTGGAGCAATCTGACTGAGAGTTGACAGGCATAGAAACAGAGAGGTCATCAGCATACTTAACAAAAGTGGCTACATCAGAATGAGGCAAGTCATGTAAGAAAAAAGAAAACAGAAAGGGAGAAAGAACTGCACCTTGAGGAACACCAGCTAAAGTAAGTGAGGTAGTGGAGGACTTTTCATTGTAGACGGTGTACTTCCCATCAGAAAAATAGGAATGCAACCACTTATTTGTCCAGCTCTCAGCCTGTGTTGCAGCAAGCTTACTTAACAAGAGAGACCCATAAACAGAGTCAAATGCAGATGTGTAATCAAGGAAGGCACAGCGAATGTATTTAGCTCCTTTATCTAAACTAGAGACTATGCTATGGTGTAGGACAACAGCGGCATCTAAGGTACACCTACTAGGTTTATAGGCTAACTGGTTGGGGTCATTGAAAGGCTTTAAAGAGGGTTCAAGATTAAGCAAAATAAGTCTTTCCATAACTTTCAAAAAGGGTGAGGTAATAGCAATGAGTCTAAACTTAACATTAGGTCCACTTGTTGATTTAGGCACTGGAACAATTTTGATATTTTTCCATGAGTCAAGTATAATACTTCCGGAAAACGATTCGTTGAAAATGTCAGTTAATGGGGATCACAAGATGTCAGCACACTTCTTAAGGATAACAGCAGGAACACCATCAGGACCAAGGGACTGAGTAGCCCTGAGAGATTGAAGACACTTGAGGAAGTCATTCGTGTTAAAGCATGAGAAGCAGTCATTATTTACACTATTTGAGTTAGGAGTCATAATATCTACAGGGATACATATGAAGGATTTATTAAGCATGTCAACATTTACAGAAATATCATTCATTATTTGTTAACCACTTGTGATTTCCTTTAATAACTCCTACATATTAGATGGGGATTTACATGAAAGATACTTTCATGTACTTTTATGAATTGGGACAACTTGAACTGATGCAATTTTATCCAAAGTCCCACTCGGACAACTCAATTCAGATACTGAATGACACTAAGTCGGCTCACTTCGGAGAGCAAAGAAATATTACAAGTATGAACAAATAATAATAAGTAACTTCCACCACATGTACTATGGGTGTCACAGCCCCATAGCTCCCATATGTGAAATGTTTTATTCGTTGGATTCTCCGCGGAAGGTATATTCTATCAACCAATCTTCGGGAGTATGAAACGTTTTTCTCAAATTCTACCCCTACTAGCTGTCAAATAAAGGAAATGTGTGACGAATATTTTAAAGAATTAAAGAGGTCAAAAGTTAGCTGTGAACTGGATATCGTTCTGATTTGATCAATAACTTTGATCAGATCCTTAACTTTGTGTTAATTTACTCCGAATAATGTTGTGTGTGTGTTTTAAATATGATGTGTTTTGTTTCTTACATTTTCTGAGCAGACAAAACTCAATATTATTCAGCACAATTTATTAACCACAATTAATGACATATATTTGAATAAGGCATTTAGAATACAAATTTCGCGAGATGATATCATTTCGTAGTTTCTTTACAACCGCTTTATAACTAACATGGTTAACAATAATAAAATAAAGTTCATGACAGTTACTCAGTTTGATAAAAAACAAAAGTACATACTAATGACCAATCATATTTAGATAGGTCGTGTAGTCCATGGTAGACGAAGATTGAAGTCTATTGTGTTTTGACTGTACACACAGTTTACTCTGTATATGATTAATCCGAAGTGAAATGTTTGTTCTCAAGGTCCCGAAAAATATGCACGAGTAACACACTGATAGATGAGCTTCGACATATACATTCAGTTTTATTAGCTAATGGTTATCCGGAGAACTTTATCACTTATCACAGTAAAGAAAAATCACACCTCGAAGTTACAGCTTCTGTATCAAAGAAAGCTATCTTTATTAACCTACCATTCAAGGGCGACCAGATTATGCAGTTGACAGCTCAAAGACTTCGGTCAGCCATCAAACGCACATTCTACGCCACCGCATCTCTTTTTCTCACTTGCCGTACATTTTCGATCCCTGTACCTACGATTAAAGGAAGAAATTCTGTGGACTCTACTTCAAACTGTATCTACAAGTTCACCTGCAGCTGCGGTGACACCTATACAGGTAGAGCCAACAGAATGTTCCAATATCATTGTCGAAAAGAACATGTTCCAAAGTGGCAACTAAATCATATCAAAAATCCCAACGCGATTAATCTTAGTAGAAATCCAGCATGATACATTGCAAAACACTTATTAATGTCTGGTCACAAAATCAATATTAATGACTGCTTCACAATTATTTCACATAACCCTAATTCAAAGCTGGTGATTAAAGGTGATGGGAGCACTTTTCGGGTTTAATCACATACAGCCTAAACTGTGTATACGAAAATCAATAGACTTCAATCTTCGCCTACCATGGACTACATGACCTATCTAAATATGATTGGTCATTAGTATATACTTTTGTTTTTTATGTAACTGAGTAATTGTCGTGAACTTTATTTTATTATTGTTAACCATGTTAGTTGTAAATCGGTTGTAAAGAAACTACGAAATGATATCATCTCGCGAAATTTGTATTCTAAATGCCTTATTCAAATTTATCAGAGGGACTAATTGTTTTAAATAACATTCATGTTAAGATTTAAGAATTGCAGGACATTTAAAATTTAGTATTACTGCAAAACAATCAAGTGGTTTTTTTCCGACCTCTCTTAAAAACTACTTAGAAGAACCTTTCAGAAAATTTGAATATGAAAGGTCCTCTGAAGTACAAAATATTCAAAAAGCCAGGCATTGTATTATATTTGGCAGAGAGGGGCTAAAGCAGGGATGCAGGATGCGTTTTCGTTCTTTTTTCGACAATTCATTTGGATCTACATATATCCAAGTGAGTTGAGGTGGCCCAGTAGCCTAGTGGATAATATTTTCTGGTATGAAACTACAGATGCTGGGTCTTAGTAGTGACATTCACTCACTAGAGTGAAGTCACATACAGTTGATTAGTCTAACATAAGACCATATGTGTTCCCTGCGTTCTTTCGTTGGACCCTATCAAACGAACAACACTATTTTCACCTCAAGGCGTTGTTGAAGCGCCCGTTCTAGGAGCTGACATGTCAATACAGACTGTGTACTTCAGCCCAACAAAAACTGATCAGATAGAAATGGCTTAATTTGTTGTTTTTGTAAGTTACAGTTGGTTAGCGATTTCCACAGTTCACCGAATTCTACGAGATTTTCAGCAAGTTTTCTTGAGTGTCCACTATGATAGCACCTCTAGGACTGGCCTCAAATCACTTTCTTCACGTCATTAGAACTACATTCAACTGTTTCTTGAAATTAAGAAATTTAATGTAATCTTAAACTAACTTCACATGTTAAAGAAGTTGCATTTTCTTGTAAATGTGTAATTTGTGCCCGAAGTTCTTTTTTCTCCATTTTCAATGCTTTTATATCTGTAAGTGATGGAAAAGAAAATTAGATGGGATCCTGATAATACATGGAACACTTTAAGTTTAGTTTAACTGATTGGTTTTAAATTATTTTGGACTAATCCAGAATAGTATGATAGCGAAATCAGTGAAGCTTTGGAAATAAAGACAGGAGTAACACAAGGCTGTTTACTGTCACCGACGATATTCCCGATTCCAGTAGACTGGATTTTAGAGTGGACGATGAAAAGCGAGAAAATAGGTTTGGGTCGGACTGACAAGAAGACTCTAGAAGATCTGGACTTCGCAGGCAACTAATGTCTAATGTCCTACAAAACCAACCAGTGGGCAGAAGAGGAAGGTAGCGAAGGAGGTAGCAAAGACGGGGCTTCAAGTGAACATAGAGTAGACGAAAGTGATGAGGATAACCAACCAATGACAACAACCACCAGTCAGCATAAACGACAGAAATTTGAAGGATGTCACCTGGTTCACTTATCTGGACAGCATCGTCTACAAACAATACAGATGAGGATTTCAAAACCAACCAGCATCAAGAAAGCAAGATGGACCTTCATAACTATGAAATAAATGTGTAAATCTGCTGCATTCAGCTTAAGGAACAAGATCCGGTTTTTAACACTAATGCCAAGTTATTTCTTCTATGTAGGTCAGAGATTTGGCGCTTCCTGAGGAGCATTTCCAACAGGTCACTGCAGACTTTTATTAACAACTGCCTTCTCTCTATACTCTTGACTAAATGATCAGGAAAGATTAATATAGGAAACCCCGGCCATAAAGCAATCAAGAAATGATTTTCTATCAAATATGCAAAGAGGAAATGGAGGCAGATTGTCGTCGGTGCTCGGGCCCTCCAGTAGGATGCCAAAGGGGAATAACAAGCTGAATGTCCAAAGGGTTACATGAAGGGAAGCTTATGGAGATTCGTGGAAACAGCTAAAGGAGATTGCGGAGGACACAGCACAGTGGAGGTGTACTTCAGAAGTTCAATGTTTCATTTGCGGATACGTCCTGCCAGTGAATGCCAACAAGCACAACACCTACATAAATTAGTTAAAGCAATAAGCAGTCATACTGTGGTGAGAGCAGGCTGCTAGCCAATTGGTAGACATTAATTTACGTCAATGCCTATGTCGCTAATATTGGCCGTGAGAAAATATGAACAAGACTGATTCAACAACCAATCACAGCAGACTTAACGTGGGCAAATAAGATTCGCAGATATATGACTTAACTTTCTGAGAAACCAGTCACAAGCAGTACAGAGCAACCTTGAGCAGGAAACAACCAATTAGAAGACTGTGTTTGTCTGCTTGAATAAGCTACAGTAATGTACATGATATATATATATATATATATATATATATATATACGTGCTGATTTCCGTAATAAAACGATCTGTTACCTGACTCTTGTCTTTTGTCTTTACAATATAATACACACAAGTTTAAAATTCTTCCCTGAGGTAATATCAGGATACAACAGTGAACTGCCTGCGTAAAAACTATATAAGAGCAATTTTCTGAGCACTGTTTACTAATTGTGTAACTTTCTCTCAACTGACAACATGTAAAATTTGCAAGTATGTTAAAACGTTTCTGTACTTAAACCTCATAATTTATTTAGGCTGTAAGAAGCAGCTGAGCTGATGAGAAGCCAACGAAATAAATCATGGTACCAAATTATTCTGCACAAACCGCCACTGTTGTTCTTGCTTTATTCAAATTTCGTTCTACTCAATGGTGCGACTGAAATGACAGATTAGATCATGATTGGATGATTGAAGTGAACACTTTCTGAACAGCTGACATTGTTTTGTTGGGGATCACCTGTTGACAATGCTGAGGTGACAGAAACCAACATGATGTAAGTAGTAGAAGGCAGATAACACTGTGTAAACTATGAAGCTATGAGAAGTGAGATGCTTTTCGAAAAGAATGAAAATTCAGTAATTTCTCAAGAAGCACGTCTGCTGTATTCAACAGAACACATTTAAAGACAAATTCTCAAAACGTTCACCGATTTTCATTCACGTATTCTCTCACCCACACAAAGTGTATTCATCATATGATATTCACTAAGGCTTATTCATTAATGCTTACTCTCTCAAGGTTAGTCAACATGGAATGATTCACTCTTGTAGAAAACCTAATGTGAAGTCTTCTTCAATCACTACATTGTTCGTCAGTTCCATAACACACTTTAATTTGCCTAATTGTCAAGAATGGCTACACACACAGATAGATACCTCACCAACCCTCCTGAATAGTCAGTTAATTCCTCGTGTGTCTGTGTTTTATTCGTTGTCACGTTATGTAATATTCTCACGTATATACTGATGTGTGTGTGTGTTGACTTCACAGTTAAGTATGGTAGTGAGATTTATTTTAGATGACTGAAATGCACTTCAGTAACAAGAGAAGAAGAATCAAGGGGTACTGGTCACATCCTTAAATGTAGTTCCACACTCTTCATGAATGCACACAATACAACCTAGTGTAGCTTGCGCTAATAAAATTGAAGACAAAACACGAATTTCAGTGAAGAGTCCCTTCTTGGAGAATTCACTTTGTCTAGCTGTACAATCACATTTATATACAAACTTTTGAATGAGTTTCTCAAATGAACTATGTGTTGTGTTTTCATTAATAAAAGTGTATGTCATGGACGTGACAATTGATCTGGCCGAGGATACTAAAGTTCCGAAATTTGTACTCTACAAGTTGAACGAGCTATGATTAGCAAATTTTAATAGCGGTTAGGATTCCTGGCTTTCACCCAGGCGGCCCGGCTTCGACTCCCGGCGCGGGAGCGCTTTGTGCGTCGGTGGCACAGTGGTTAGGACTCTCGCCGACCACGCATATGGCCCGGGGTTCGAGCACCCGCCGACGCACACCTGATATCTATGGTCGGCCTGCGAAATTTGGGCTACCGATGTCCATGCTGAAAATTCCATACTTGTAACAAAAATACAGTGTAGAATCAAGCTGTAAATCAAATATATAAATATATATATATATATATATATATATATATATATGTCATACTTTATCACGTTCACTTCTTCTTTTCACAACTCGACAGTCCTAAACTCGGTTCCTCTCATAGTCTTAATCTTAACGGATAAATTACCTCAAACAGAGAGAGAGAGAGGAATTTAATTGGTGGATGGTGACTAACAGTGGAATCCAAAACGCACATTTCGTCCTATTTGGGACTCGTCATCCGGATGTACCTGCGTTACCTAATGAGCGATGATGTTTTCACCGAGAGGACGAGATAAGGAGGGAGGCAAACTGATCAAATGGTCCAAATTGTACGACAGTTTTATGGTTTTAGATCATTCCAGGATAAAAAGAAGCCTATTTTTAATTGTTCAAAGTCAAATGAAACCCACCAGTCTAATGTCTTTAAAATTGACTTACTCTTATTTTCCCGTCTTCTCATTGCACTAACACGATCTTCACATTCTTGTGAAACTGTCCATATTAACTCCTACGTAAAAAGAAAAAAAGTTGTGAAATCCGCCATTGGGACTCCTCACAAAAAAAATAAGCTCAAACTGAAAATTCTCTCATCAACATGAAACTTACTCTAACGGGTAACAGCTTTTTCAATTCATTCTGCATATGAACTAGATACGATTCGTATTCATCTTTAATTCTTGCCAATAATGGACCGTAATAAGCGCATGTTTGTATAAATATTGTAAATATTTCACGATATATCTTCAGACAAAAAAATATAAGTACAAACAGTAAATAAAATATTATGATAGTGTTAATATAATTTGAAGTAAAGTTCATAGAATAATCAGTCTAACAACAATTATAGATAATGAACGAAATATTCTCATATTGAGTCATAAGACAAAGGCACAAACAGCATAGAAAGAAAATTTTCCCTTTTCGACGATTCATTTTCATAAGCTGCTGCTGTACAATCGTAATTATAATTAACAGACAAATTTTTTTGGACCAATCAGATACTGGTAAACTTTGTCCTTGAAAATTCTACTACATAATGTAAGGTGTAAGAAAGGATGACTAATTGTTAGTTAGAAAGGAGAGAGAAGTTGGCATGACGTACGTGATAAGTGTGAGATAATGACCAACTAGTCAATAAGCTCGTGTAGAACAGTGGACAGGATCTAGTGGAAAGGATATAAAGTAGTTTAGTATAAGATCTGTGTGAAAAAGGAATGTTATTAATAAACAGTAATAGAGTGGTAATGAAATGTGGATGGTGGGAATAGTAATAATAATAATAAAAGTATTAATAATAGTGATAGTAATAATTGTGAACTTACATATTAAAAGAAAGGAGCAAAATTATAGTAAGAAATTTACTCTGGCCATGGTAGGGCCAGAGAATGTATGTATCGCTTTCTGTATGCACAAGTCCGGTTTTAGGTCTCGAATAGCTAATGCCTCAGCTATGTACAGATGTCGTATCCGGAGTCCTTTTGTACGATATTGAGGGACTCTGTGTACCACTGTGAAGCATTCATGCAAGTGGGGGTGCTCGATGTCCGGATATGGCAAGATGTTCGAAGAATGAGCTGTTGCTATTCTTCTTTTCTCCTCTGGCTAACCAAGCTGGGCAGTGTTCCAGGATACGTTTGTGGATTTGACGTTGCGTACAGCCGATATACTTTGCTCCATTATAGATAAGATTTTATTTCTATAAGTCACACAGTCTTACACAGTTCTATTAACTGATGACGTTTTGTGCACAAACTATTGCCACTCATAATCATATCAAGTTACTCACACAACTTTTTCATTGTAATATCATTATAAAATCAATGTGCACCGTGATGGCGAGCTTCCTAGAATGTTGGCCACATTGCAAACCTGACTGATAGAATCCAGTCTGAACCAAAGAAAGGACTAGACACGTCACACTAGTTACTGATGTCAAATGAAAATACCCACTACAGTCCTACAGGAGGTAAATCGCGAGCCAGCCCGAATAGCTCGGTGGTAACGTCTCTGACTGCAGCACTGGGTGACGCGGGTTCGAATCTTAGAACGGAAAGGAGTTTCTCCACGGTTGCAGATACGCCTTGCTGACGGATGCCAACTAGCACGAAACTTAGATCTGGCGAGGCTTCCTGACAATTGCCTCCAACTACCTAATATCATCAAATCAATGTGCACCGTGATGACGAGCTACCTAGAATGGTGGCCAAACTGCAAAAACTGACAGACAGAATTCATTCTGCACCAAAGATAAGATTAGACACGCCACACTACTTATTAGTGCCCAATTAAAACAGTTGATATACTTTGAAGTAAAGTTCATAGAATAATCAATTTAACAACAAGTATAACCAAGAGATGATATTTACCGTAGACAAAAAGTATAAAAAGAAAAATATCTAGCAGGAAATGTTTCTCTTGAATTAGGACAGCTGAAAAGGTTTTAGCTGGCTATATTATTGTCTATAAGTTTTCCTCCTCACTTCATCTTCACACGATCTTCTATATATCACCCTTGATCATTCAACTTTTCTTTCCCACTAGAGTTCCACTCGAGAACTGGCCTGACGCACGACGTCACTCAACAGTCTCCTCACAGTACGTCCAGTCCATCTTCATTTTCTTTTGTGTATTTGTTTGGCAATCCCCCTTTAGCTGGTTCATTGCCAAAGATCTTTGTCGCTCACCCTTTCTGGCTGACCGTTTGATCTTCAGTATGGGAAAAATTATTATTGTTCCCTTGGGTTCCTAGTAGCTTCAAACACACATCTCCACTTTGTTCTATTTTGTGTTGTCCTCTTCATCTGGGCCCTTAATTGCCCATAGACTTTCATATCCTCTTTGTTCTATCTTGTCCATGTCACCTTCAGGCGATTCACCCATCATTTCCCACTAGGGTTTCACTGAAACGATAGCCTGTTTGGCTCACGGTTGTAATTCAAACGTCTCCTCAGAGTGTTTTGAATGTGTCTTGCATTGAGTAAAGCCAGCTGCTAATGTAAACTGCACAAGCCTATTGGAAAAGCTTTCCGTGACGCACGCTCAAAGTCTCTAACCATACGGAATCAGTGATATGACTAGCAGTGTGCGGTGAAGAAATGAATCTAACATCAATCATTTCCTCAAGATTTATTATAATTGTTGCATAAAACATCACTACCAATTTATTATTGTAGTTATGAAACTGTGGTTCGTGAGTCACTTCATAAACTTAAAGCTACCAGTAGGACAGAAAACAGAAAATCGGATAATAAATCCTGTTGATGTCACATTTAACTGTGTTTCAGAATTTAATAAGCACTTGGGGAGGCAAGTATGCTGGAACAACTTCTCTCTGATTTTCTGTGCATATTTTGACAAATTAGTGTCTGAAGAGAGGAAAAAATCCACTGATCGCAATACCAGACATACATGACGATTAAAGGGGAATTCCGCTTACACTGCTAAAATTAATAATTTTTCCTTCGCATTCCCAGTGGAACATAGGGCTTCAAGCTATTGGCTTGAAGTTTCTGTAGCCGTGTTTATTTTCACAGGATGGGGTTGCTAGCCTCATGCCCAACCTTTCCTCATTACCGGGATTATTTCTGGCTTAGCAAGGTAAAGGAGTGCATCGGCTGGGGATCGAACCCCAGACCAAATGCATGGTCGGTGAGCGTCCTAACAGCTCTGCCACCGACGCACGCTTACACTGCTAAGTGAGTTAAAAAGTTCGAAAGAGATGAGGATCCCTGGGGTTACTGTGATTTGCTTAATCGATTGTAATAAAGCGTTTTCAAGGCAGCTTAGTATATTGCTTAGTCTTTCAGTAATTGCATTTTGATTTTGATTGCGTCTTCACTAGTGGCTGGACAGAAATAAAGTGCAATGTGTTCAGTGGTCGGGATGAGTTTTAAAGAGAACACTATCAGTAACCGATTAATTCAGGAGTTCCTAATATCAGTCTGTGAACGTCAGTGAAACGTATACGTGGATATCTTATACGTATTTTTGCACTTACCGTTCAGCCATCTCACCACTGTCAACCACACACAATAAGTTCAAATGATGAGTCTATTGTCAGTGCCTAGGTTCTAAATACTGAGGTAATTTCAGCAATGTATACAATTGTGACCCAGCGTATTATATAAGACATATAGATAACGCTGATCCAATAAGTATTTAGCTTCAACAGAACAGGTCATAAGCTAATATTTAGGATTAATTAACAAATATTTTATTTAGTTTATTAATTAAGACGTCATCAAGAGGTTAAAACTGTAAATTATTTTTCAAAACTTATGTTATGAATATATAAATATACCTCTTTTTTACCTGTAATCTTAAAGGATTTGGTTCACCGTCTGTAACATGAAATTTTGCTTTCTCTCTATTGATACGCGCTTCTAACATCTCCAAGAATCTTGGTTTCTTGACTGGCGGTAATCCTAGACAATTGAAAAATTAGTCAATCAATAGTGAGGAGTATTAAATTTAGATTATAAATCATTGAATGGAACTGAAATCAATAATTATTGTGCGTCGTCACTCTCATGATGGAATACTCATCAACTACCATGTGGTCTGGGGTTCGATTTTCAGCCGCCTAATAACGCCGATGAAACTACCAATACTGAATGAGTCTGGAGATATGAGAGGTTTCGGAACAAAGTTCAGAGTTCATTATCAATAGGCAAGAAGATATTCAACGTTTGTTCGATGTGGTGACTGAACATTTCGATTACTGTCCTTTTTTATATGTTCATTACTGTTTCAATAAATAATTTCTTCCCCCAATACTACTCAAGATCAGATGGCCAGCCAGGTATCTCTGGCAATGAACGAACCAACCCAGCTGGAACCAATTGTGCAACAAATATGCAGGAAGAAATTTAGTTAGATTGGCCATACTCTTAGAAAACAAACATCAAGTGAGTGACATCACAAGGCAGGCCATCTCTTGAGTGGAACCCGAAAGAGAGTTGGTCTTCAGTGTGAGGGTTACTTGGAGGAGATCATGTGAAGAGGAGATGAAAGTATGTGGGGAGACTTGAAGCCAAATGGAAACGTTGTCAGAGAACCGAATGCAATGGAGGCGTGTGGCTGAAGCCCTCTGTTCCTCTATAAACTAAGGGAAACAATAATAATATAATAATATTTTTTGGTTCACTTAATTTCAGCCATTATGAATATAAAATTAAAAATTAGTATTGCCTGTTCACAATCATTTAAGATGCAAGGCCTTAAAAGTGAGTATGGAGTCTGCATGGAAAACGAAGCTTCACAAGAATCACGAGATTCTTTTCAATGATTTACTTTTAATTAACTTCAGGTGTGGAAAAAATTCAATTTTGTTACAAAAATATCTTGTTTCTTTGCATTCCGAATGAAATCTGAGGCTTCAGGCTGGAGCTTTGAAGTTTCATTAGCAATGCTCTTCATTTAAGTGTTGGTTTGTAGGGATTTGGTTGGTTACAGGATCTCATCATGAGCTGACATTGATTAGAGAACCATTGGAAAACATGGGAGTACTGGACACCAAGATTTCTAACTTCTGCCAATTCATGACATAGCGTAACCCCTAGGCAATGTCTTCGGCAATTATTTGTCCAGTAGAGTGCAGCGGGTTGAGTGTGTGGACAAATACTTGCCGAAGACATTGGCTAGGGGTCGCGCTATGTCATGAATTGGCAGAAGTTGGAATTCATGGGCCAGTGGATCGGGTCCCAGTGGATTAATGGTATACGAGCTCGCCTTGTAACCAGAAGGTCCTAGGTTCGAACCCCGGTGGATGCATACTGTTGAAGAGCCCCAAACTAGAACGAAACAGCTGTTCAGTACTCCCAAGTTTTCCAATGGTTATGTAACTAATGCCAGCTCTTGATGAAATCTTTTAATGATCTTCATTTTTTACGGGATAGGGTTGCTAACCTCACGTCCAGCCCTTCCTCTTTACCTGAGGACTTACTATCAGCTAAGCAAGGTTACAAAGTTCGTCGACCTGAGATCGAACCCAATATCATGTGTGTGTGTGACTGGCGAGCATTCTATCACTAATCCACAGACGCAGTCAAGTTTAACTATTCCATTATAACACCTTACGCGACTGTACCTAATAAAAAAAATAAAAATTGGAGATCTCTACTGATAAACATATGGAAATTAAACATCCACAATAAAAGTTCATATGGAGACGAAACAAAAAGGTGCTTACTTGATTGTTCTGGTGTTTGTCGTTGTATATGTCCATCTGATGCAATATGGATTTGATTAGTTGATCTTTCCCTACTACTTGCATGCGCTGGCCATGCATCTATAACAATATTCCCTTTTGTACCAGAATTCTCCTGAATAAACATTTTTTTTAAATAATTATAATTTCATCGTTTTATTTGCTTTGATATTGCTAAGGTTCATTAATGTATACTTTATGAAAATACAGGATAACTGAATAATTATTCATCAGCAGTTGTATACAAACATTAATGAAAAAAGTCAGAATGAACTGTAGTACCCCACGTCTTCAAAAGCATAAACAAGAGATGTTTCAAATGTCACATAGTAACGATGCAGTATTAACAACTGGATGACAGAGTTTCGAGCACAATTTATCGCTACTCATAATCATATCAAGACACTACTCACACAACTATCTAACAACCTTTATATAATTCCCTTATTTCTCATCTCCTGACTTGATTGGTAGCAGTATTTTGCATATATCGGGTATGAGTGATGAGTCATTCCTATTGCATGTGTTGTGTTGGGTGTAGAATATTCGATGAACAAAGATTCAATAATCAACCTCTCTCTTCATCTGCCTATATCACTTCTTAGGATTTTAACCATCTTCCACTCACCCTATGGTGTGGTTGTGTGTTAATGCATGCAATGCAATTGTTGAGCTTTTTTTCTAAATTACTTATCTTCTCGGGATCAACAGTTTTTCCCTTAGCTAAATTCTTATGTTCTGATAATCTCACTACCTTCACCCGATCTACTAATTTGACCTATGTAGTTCACATAACTCACAATCATTGCAAGGTATTTTGTAAATTATGTTATTTTGTTTAATTGGGTCCCTCAGTTTCTTTAGCCTACAGAGCTTGTCCCTGAGTAGTTTTGTAGGTCTACATGCCACTCTAATTCCTACTTTAGTGGGAATCCTACGAAAGGTCTCAGATGTCCCCTTCTTATATAATACAACTTTAGATGCCTTATATTAATAGTTTCCCCATTATTTTAATTTTGTTTTTGACCTTTTTTGATATTCCCAATGAATTTTATAGGATAATTATTAATTTTTCAATAATATAATAATTCACATTGTAGCATTGGGAAAACAATATTTTTATTTTTATTTTTTTTATTTTATTTTATGGTTACAGCTCGATTCCACACCGTATTTTTGGTACAAGTGTGGAATTTTCAGCGTGGATATCGGTAGCCCAAAATTCTCAGGCCAACCATAGATATCAGGTGTGCGTCGGCGAGGGCTCGAACCCCGGACCATGTGCATGGTCGGCGAGAGTCCTAACCACTGTGCCACCGACGCAGCGAAAAGACACTTAAGGGTCAGAGGACGCTCTCCACACGGATACGAGAACATATTCCAGCTTGGTTTTACAAGGGAGAAAGGAAGTGTGTGCGAAGCTCTATTCTGGAACACCTGATCGACTTCTGTCACTCGGTCAATCCTGACCATGATTTCAAGATCATATATAGAATCCACGTTAGCTTCCCGCGTTTTCTTCGTTACAGACTTCTAAAGACAGCTTAGGCCTTGGCAATTCATGACTTTAAGCCAGACACAACTTTGTGTACAAAAGAATTACGTACAATCCCTAGTTCTGCCTTGGCCGTAGAGGGATAGACATTTATTTATTTTGTTTATTTAGTTATTCTAAGTACCTTTCCCTTATTACTACGATTATTAATATTATTATTGTTATGATTACTATTCTCACTCTGAATCTTTTCCACTTGACACACTTGTCATTTTAAACCCAAAATTATTAATATTTATATTTTTTTATTTTTACAACATTGAATTCTATCTTATCAGATTTCACACCATGTTATGTAACATTTTATATTCGTCTACTAATCTTATAATTATGTATACCTTTCCAAAATATATACACCTTATGTATTATTCTATATATGACGTTAATTATTTGCCCACTTGACATTAAACCATGATTATAACCACAAATATTTTAATTGCATTTCATACTACTACTATTATTATTTCATGTATTCACACCTTTGACCTAATTCCCTCGCCGGATATAACTCCTTAAAAACCATATATATATATATATATATATATATATATATATATATATATATATATATATATATATACGATTATACAACTTGATAATAAATTTGTTGTTGAAAAGAGTCTCTTCGCTGAATATTGTGTTCTTTATTTAGTTATTTGTCATTAACCAGCTATTCTTTTATCTGTTTCATTTCATCCATTAGTTTTATTTTGTCTGATACCATATTCTCACAATCAAATCCAATCATAAGACTTTCTAAGGTTCGACTTCTAACTCTTACTTACATATCTGACTGGCAGGTGAAACTGTTGCATTAAACTACACAATCGACATATACATGAACAATAAGTGTGAACTTCTTCAAGTATAAACTTACATTTAAATCATAAAATGGTGGAAAGTAGTAATTTTCATATTTGGTGTCAAATTTGACTAAATTACTCTTATCATTCTAAAATATGTAGGTGTGGGGGGGGGTATTCTTTTTTTAGTATTATAATGCAAACCTTTTTTGTTGTGAAACGTTTTCTTGTTTCATCACTGATTAAATAATGACAGAGGTATGCTTTTTTCTAAAAATATATAAAAAAAATCAGAGAAAAAAAATTAATCGATTGAAAGGCCAAGAAGTATACAGCAGATGTTAGAATAAGCTCAGAAATGATCAGTGTTACGTCATACATAGTATAGTCGTTCTCATATTTTGAACTGAATGTGAGCTACCTGAAACTCCTTCATCAATATGTTGTTGCACATAAATTTCTCTCATTTACTTTATTTTAATCCAGTAAAATATGAATTTTAATAGTATTTGTTGTTTACTATGGAGATTATTTATATTTATTATATTCGTGCGTCGGTGGCACAGCGGTTAGGACGCTCGCCGACTATGCACATAGTCCAGCCGACGCACTCCTTTACCTCGCAAAGCCAGAAAATAATACTGGTGAAAAAGGAAAGGCTGGGCATGAGGCTAGCGACCCCATCCTGTAAAAATAAACACTGCTACAAAAATTTCAAGCCACTAGTTTGAAGCCCTATGTTCCACTGGGAACGTGAAGGAAAAAATAGTAATAATAATGGAGATTATTTAAAACATTTAGAGCCTTTTGATTGGACATTTGGCGCTGACTGAATTCTATCAGTTACATTGGCAATGTGGCCACCATTCTAGGTGGCTTGTCATCAAGGTGGGTTTCGAATTCTTGATATTAAGTGGTTGAAGGGACTCAGTACGATGCCTTGGAGTTGAGTTCCGTGCTTGTTGGCATTCATCAGTCAGTCAGTAAGACGTATCTGCAACATTGAAGGAACTCATGACCCCTATGAGATTCGAAACCGCTTCACTCAGTGCTACAGCCAGAAATATCACTACTGAGCTATTTAGGCTAGCGAATATATATATATATATATATATATATTATATCCTTTAGTTCCTAGAGGAACATAGGCTTCAGCTGCGCATCTACCTTCCATTCGGTTTTCTGACAACTTTTTCATCTCGCTCCAAGTCTGCCCACGTGCTTTCATCTCCTCTTCACATTCACCCCTAACAAGTCACCCTCGCACTGACAACCAACTAACCGTTTCCCTTTCGGGTTCCACTCGAGCGATGGCTTGTCCAGTGATGTCACTTGATGGTTTTCTCAGCGTATGGCCAGCCAATCCATCTCCACTTCTTCCTGCCTATTTATTGCACAATCGGTTCCTGCTGAGTTGGTTGGCCCATTGCCAGAGATTCATGTTGCTGATCTTTTCTGGCCGGTCATCTGATCTTGAGTAATGAGCAAAGACAGCTGTTAATGAAGGTGTGTAGTTTGTTTGAGATGCTCTATATGACGCACTGGCCAAGTCCCCGATCCATCCGTATAGTAGCACTGACTGACTTCCCATTGGAGTTGAAAATCTGGATCTTATTCTTGATGGTGAGTGATGTTGACCTCCACACAGACTTGAGAGTAATCAAAGCTTGTCTTGCTTTTCCGATTCTGGCTTTGATATCCTCGTCAGTTTTGTGTGGCGGTAGTTGAAGCGATGCTTCTCAGGTAGGTAGGTAGGTAGGTAGGTAGGTAGGTAGGTAGGTAGGTAGGTAGGTAGGTAGGTAGGTAGGTAGGTAGGTAGGTAGTTGAAGGAGGTTGTTTCTTTCAGGTTCCTCCCATTTATGCTGGCTGATTGTTGTCTGTTGTTGTTGCTGTTGGTGGTGTTGGCGAGGAATATTCATCACCTCTGTTTTATCTATGTTCACTTGAAGTCCTATCTTTGATGCTTCTTCTATCTCCAACTTGTTGCTTTCCACTTGCATATCTTCCAGTTTGTGGGAAATCAGACATATATCATCGGCGAAGTCAAGATCCTCCAAGTTTTTGTGTGAGTCCATTTTATGCCCGTTCCCTCGTTCGTTGCCGTTGTCTGTCGCATTATCCAATCTACTGCAATCAGGAAGATCATTGGTGATAGTAGACAGCCTTGTCTCACTCCCGTCCTTACTTAGAAGGCTTCCGTAAGTTTCTCGTTGTGGATTACTTGGCATGCATCATTGTCGCATAACTGTTGGATGAGATGTATAATTGTCGGTGGGACTCCTTGATAGTAGCGAAGTAGTTGCCATATATATATATATATATATATATATATATATATATATATATATATATATATATATAACAATCTAATATCGACAATTCATTGTGCACCGAGATGGTGGGCCATATAGTGGCATGATGACTGCATCCCGAACTTGACTGATAGAATTCCGTCTGCACCAAACAAAAGACTAGACACATTGCGCTGTTTATTGACTAACGTCTAATGAGAGTATACAATACAGTCCTACAGGAAGTCAGCCGCTAGCCAGACCGAATAGCTCAGTAGTAACGTCTCTGACTGCAGCACTAGGTGACACTGATTCGAATTTTAGAATGGACATGAGTTCCTTCATGGTTGCACGTACATAAGCCTTACTGACTAAACGATGAGTGTCAACAAGCAGAAAACTTAGAACGGGCAAGGCTTCCTGCCGATTGCCTCCGACCATCTAACATCGACATAAAATGAATGTATAATATGATAGGGTTTTAGCTACTTATTATCTTGCATTAGTAGTATATAATAAATACTATAATTTGAACGCCTACTGAGTCAGTCATTTAGTCACATGGGTTAATCAATAATTTAAAGAGGAAAAATTAATATTCTGTTTATTAGAGAACACACAAATTATGGATAAAATTTATGAACGAATAAAGTAAAGCCAAAAAAAAACAAAAGATGCCTTCTTTAAAAAAATCTGCACGTAAGTAGTATGCACAATTTTGACTTCTTTGATGAAATGCAAAATAATAATAATTTAAAAAAATAATCTTATGAGTAATAGTAATGGTTAAATACTGGGGCATAGGAAGTGTTTGTTTAGAGTGATTTTCATTATGGAGTGATAAAAGTTAAACTGTGCACAAACGGCGGGAACTTTCGAAACCGAAGTTCATTTAAACATTTATGCATAACAAACGGATTATCGGTTATTATTATTATTATTAATAATAATTCCATAGAAAAGGCAAAACTTAATAACTTCATTCTGTCTGTCTGTTTTCGACATAGAACTTTGCACAAATGTGCGCCAGTTCAAGTCGCCACATTCCGTGTAGCACGCGAAGCAAGAGAAGAAAGTACAAGAAAAGCATAATAGAAACAGTGAGCAGAGGTGTGAGACAAAGGAGTAATAAAGAAATACAAAACAATTTCATTGAAGATCATAAGTCACAGGGAGTGGATGCATCTGCGCCACTGAGAACGATTTTGAGCCACGTCACCAATAGTTTCCAACCATAGATTTTTGCCGTCCCGAGGACCCCAGCCTGGAAGTCTACACCTTCCTACGTGGCTAAGACCAACTGTTGTGGATTTCATTGACTGATGCCAAGTTTTTGTTTGACCGCCGCTAGCTTTTTTCCAGCCTGACCCTATATCCGCTAACATTGCTCGTCGAGGGAGGCGATGGCTTGGCATACGTAACACATGTCCTAACCATCTCAGTCTTTGTAGCTTCACGACTTCGTCGATTGATTTCCCCTGTTTACCTAGAACTCTACGCCTAACCTCCATGTTGCTCACCTTATTATGCCACTTTACACGGGAAATAGAACGCAGGCACCTATGATCAAAGACAGCTAGTCTTTTCATGTCTTCCACTCTCAGTGGCCAGGTCTCACAACCATAAAGGAGGACGGAGCGGACTGATGAGCAGTACACCCGCCCTTTGGTCGATAGTCGAACATCTCGTCTACGCCAGAGTCGGCGTAAACTAACGAATGCGAAACGAGCCCCTTGTATTCGTCCTGAGATTTCGTCAGAGATCAGCCCGTTAGGGCTGATGGTACTTCATTACTCTAAAAACAGTATGAAAATTTACTATACTCAGTATAAGCCTCTACGTGGCTTAAAGACTAGAGCGTGTGTCACCCAAAGTATTTCTAACAGGCCTCAAACGTTTATCAGTGGCTGCCTTCGCTCTGTGCTAAAGATCAGATTGCCAGAAAGGATTAAACAGAAAAAACCACGAGAATGAACCAATTCAATCTCCACTGCCTGATAAATACTTATAAGGGAATGAATATAGATTCAACACACTCTGAGGAAGTCATCGAGTGACACCAAACACCACGCCGTCGAGTGGAACCCATATGAGAAAATAACCAGTTGGGCATCTGAGGATGATACAGAGGAGATCGTATGAGGAGTCCAAGTAAGTCTGTAGAGAACTGAGTATAATGAAGGTATGCTGTTGAAGCTTGATGTTCCATTTGAAACCCAAGCGTAAAATAATTCTAATTCTGCTATTGAGTTACTGGTATACCAAGAAGAATTAATTGATTTTATTAAGCAGTGTGAAGGAAATAGAATAATACTACGATAAGCAAAACTCTACACAACGAGGATAACAACTAAATATAGATTACCGAAGTTTTAGAGGATCTGGAAGATGGAAAGCATTGAATACAATGTCACCAGTGTGAGTGGCTTTCAACCGTCTCGTCAAGTATCGCCAACAATTAATTTTTTAAGCATTCGGAGGACCTCATCCAACTAATATGACCATTTCTTTTTGGATCATAGGAACTGTCTTTAACTTTATTTATTGATGTCATGCTTTATTCTGACCACCGATGACTTCTTTCACATCTATTGTTTCTTATCAAGGAAGATAGGAACCTTTTGAGCATAGTACACATCTTATCCAGCTCACTCAACAAAACTGCTAGAGCTTTATTTATGTAGTACATTTTCGGGTGTAAGTATGTAGGGATTCAACTGGTTTTAAGTCTAATCATAGATTGTTATCACTTAGAGAGCCATGAATAACCAGAATGAACTACTGGATAGCTGTTTTACCCTCTTATTTGTAGAATCTTCCGTAGTACGCACCTATAACTTCATTGCCAGGGATCCAACCCTTGACCTCCAGGTTACCAGGCGAGCTTATTGACCATTCAGGCGCTGGTACAAAGTCCAGTGGCTCAAGAGTTCTAATTTTTATCTATACAATATATACATCAGATTGCTTTATCAATGT